CTCTAAGAGGTCCATTGAAATTTTACAGATAACCAATTTTTCTTCCGTTAAAATGTCCACTAAAGTTCCCGCTAAAACGTCCGTTTACACCTTTTCAAATTTCGCTATTTACAATGTCCGTGTACAACTTTACAAATTCCGCTAAAATGTCCGTTTACAACTTTACAAATTCCGCTAAAATGTCTGTTTACAACTTTACAAATTCCGCTAAAATTTCCAGCACCAAAAAATAAATCTCTCCAATAATTATATGATCTGAATTATGGGAGAGACATTTATATTCTAGCATTACAAAACAACAATATTTAATTAATTGCTGATTTTTTTAAAATAAGTCTTATTTTTATTAAACTCTCCAATGACAGTTATGACTCGTAGACATATCATTTAGATCCACATTACAAATTATTTAACGGAACTTTGTAACTGGACACTCGGTAATGGTAGTTTGTGATAACAACCTTGTTATTTTGTTTGTTCACAAATTAAACACCAGCGTAAGATATTCATAAATGCCACAATACGTGTATTGTGACTGACTTTTACGGTGGTAAAAACACCTTACATACCATGGATAAGTTGTGCGAATTATCGTATACATGTAGTTAACATAAATCACACAATGAACTTTTATTTATCATCTCTGTCATATATCATTTATCACAATTTGTTGTAAAGAATATAATTTCCATACATTGATAATATCAAAAATTATAGTAATATACCGTAATATGTTCGAGAGTAAACAAATTAAATTCACAATAAATCATATTTTTGTGGTTTTTATTTGCTTATTTGTTTGTATAACCTTATAACTTGCGTCGATTTGATGTATATTATATTAAGATGCAAGCGAATTTTATTATACTGCATTTTTTATCCAACGGTCGTCCACGTTTTTTTTATTATGTTTTTTTTAGTGTAGACTTCAATATAAAGATCCTCACTGAGTAGTGAATCATTTGTATAGAAATACGTGTAATCAGTAAATATATAGAAAATAAACATGTACATACAGATCTTCGCTAAGGTGAAGTATAAAACTTTATATATTCTTCCTGATTATCATAAATCCATGACAGGAGAAAATCCCCCCCCTTTTTTTTGGGGGGGGGGGGTCTATATATGTTAATATTTATTTGGTAAAGAGGGATTTTAGTGACATTGATTCCCGCCCTGTTTAATAATTTCTGTATCACTACAGACTAATCGTTTTTTGCTCCTAGAATTAATCAACCTCTCTCTCTTTCTCTCTCTCTCTGTATAGAGAGAGAGAGAGAGAGAGAGAGAGTCAATATGTATAATCGTTTATGCGTCCCACTTACAAATGTTTACAAAATTGTTACCGTGAGCTTTGGCGAGTCTCCGAAAAATAGATGAGAATATGAAGGTAAACTATAGTGATAATTAATTTTTAATTTGATGTGGGCGTTAAGTATTATACTTAATTAAAATTGTTTATTCGACTGAAATGTAAACCTACAGCAGATCATTTGATGGTGGTTTTTAGTCTATTCATGGCACACGTTATATCTATATATATCAATGCCAAAGGTTTTATTAACTTTTTAATAGAGAAATACATTTACAACAACTGCGTAAAATTTTATTTTTCTGTGGTCAAACTGGATAATGGGCATTGTTTAGCCAGTGTATGGGAAACCACCCATTTAGCTGGTTTTCAATTATATTCGATATATTACTAGTATTATTACTTTTGTAACACATATTGTCATCTTTTAACGGTATCAGAAGATAGTTTTAAAGAGAGATAAACACACTTGCATTGCAACAATGCTGTTTTCTGTACAACACTGGTGTGTTTGTTTTGCTGGTTCTTGCTTTTTCTTTTTTGACTTTTCTGGATTATAGTTTAAGTATCTTTTATCAATACAACTCAGATAGCCAGATTTCCTAATTTCTTTGAATACATTTTAGTTCCCGAAATTACATGGATGTATGACAATCAAACAAATTCAATGATTTTATAATTTTCAGATAAAAGAAGTTTCTAAACATGTTTTAGAATACATGTAAATCGGTCTGGAACGCTCTTGCCATGTACACAATTAAGTCATGAAACTCAACAGAAAATGTCGAAGATTATAAACCTCAAATCTGTGTACATGCCCCTTTAATATTTCTGCATCCAGATGACCACAAGTAACGTTGCCATGAAGAAAGGTCTTGATTGTGTTGACCAACATTTTGGCTATCTAAAGCATTAAGGTAACGGATATGACTTTACACAAGCGCTTAAATAATGTAGAGATTATATATGTACATTGTAAAAACCAGACCATGTTTAAATTATATATGAAGAAAAACTTAAGCACGCCACAAAGGTAATAATATTGTAGAAACATTGAACCAATTTAATGAGTAAATATTACATGGGTATTCAGGTTCATAAACAACGTGATCTTACCTATCCCCATTGTTATTAATGCTGAACACGATTCGCAAAAGGAAAAGAATTTATTTTTATTTGCCATATTTCTCTTCATTATTTCTAGAGCACCTATACAAGCCGTTCACTTGGTTACGGTTCAATGTCACACGCTTTTCAGGTTTCAACTGCGTGGACGTACAGTGTACCCTACATTGTCATTATACATGTACATATAAAATGCCCGCTAGAGACAAAAGTAATTATAGCGTGCTTCTTCCATGACAGGAGAAAAGGTTACCGAAGAAATATGACATCAATTGTACGGGGCAATGCAGCAAAACACACAAATACACGTAAAAAAAACCCACACAAATACATGAAAAAAATGTAAACGAAGGCAATGAAAGCTATGTGTCGTCCATTCCATGCAGATAGCTAGAAAAACCCAGGTATAACAAATGCAAAGGATATACCCCTATCAGGCCGGGTTGTCCCTAAGAATTTAAATAGCAGGGGATATTAAAAAAGTAGAAGGGGAACTGGTGTTCCTACCTAACAGGGGCTTATGGGTAATACCAGAATAACCGGGGTATTACGTCATTAAAGGCGGGGAAATTCCCTGCCAGTGCTGACAACTAATATGGAGTGTACGCTCTTGCATAAGAAGGATAACTCTTATTCATTGCAGAAAGCATGACGGAAAATGCCGGTCGCTTATGAAACATCCCCATGTGACGTACAAAAAGTGGGAGGATGCCCCCAATTATTTTCCATAGGTGTCGGAACCGGGGAAGGGGGGTTAGCTCCCCCTCCTCCACCTTTTGGCAAAAATAGACATAATATAGGCCTTGAAAATTGGGGCTTAGTCTCCCAAACGTTTTTTTTTGTTGGTTTAGCCTTCCACGTTCAATTTACATGTACTTCCGACGCCTATGTTTTCCAGGCCTGTAGGAAGCAATTTCAGTGGGGGGGGGGGGGGGCACAGCTATACATTTTCAGTTGAGGGGGCACTATCAACTACCAAAAATTTCTGACAAGCAAAAAAAAAGGTCATCAGACGTTTTTATTGAGGGGGCACAAGCATATAGTAAGTAAACTACATGTATATATCGCCCCCCCCCCCCGGTTCCTACGGCCATGTTTCCCCAATAAATACCCCCCCCCCCAAAAAAATAGAAAAAAGGGGGGAAAGGAAAAAAACAAACCCCCGGAAATTGCTTCCTAAGGGACTGATGCGAGTCAACCAATGAGAGTAGAATGTATAGAATACATACGTACATGTAGCATGTATAGATGTGTCTTTTGTTTATCCAAAGATCAGAAAACAGTGCTGTTCCAGATACAAAGACCCTTAAACTTTGAAAAGGATCAAATACATCGCCTAAGCCGGACCTTCTGTTTGAAGTATCAAGTCTCTTTTTTAACACACAAAAACATATAAACATGTACATTGACACTTATGATCTTAAAAGGGAGGAGAGGCCAGACCAGTATGGTAGTTGGATTTCTATACAATTAATAGTTTTTTTAAGTTAATTAATGGGGAGAACTTCATTATTCACACATTCAAAATGCATTGTGGAGCAGGAAGAAATCTGAAAACTATATTGACGTCTTGAATAAACAAACAGTAAGTTAATTCCAATTATAGATAAAATGTTTCTATACATTGCTATCGAAGATATTTTATTAATGCTTACAAAGATTATAGCCGGAGGGAGTACGCGGTTAACATGACAAGGGAGTAATAAATACATGTACTGCATTGTACATGATGCATTACATTGATGATAAATGTATTTTTTGCTTGAGCAAGCAAACTGATGTTGTGATGAGAGATGCATCGTTGTGATTTCCTATCCAAAATGTATTCATCAATTTTAAGAAAAGTTTCTGATTTCTAAGATCTATATAACAATTAGAATATTATTATAGAGATATGAAGGACTGCAACCAGGAGGATTTTTTTTTTCAGAGTGCATGTGCACACAGAACTAGAGTACAAATCTCTGCTGACAATTTTTATGTAAGCCAAGAATTTCTAGATTGCTATTTTGTATATGTCTGTCATATATCCAGTAATTTTAAAAATAAGTTTTTTGCTAGTGCTGTATATATAAAAGATAACGTTAGCTCGTGACGTCTTATTTTTTATCACTAGAAATAAATAAAACAATTATTAACTCCATGCCTAATAAATCATGTGCTTTATGAGGTAATTGTGTTCAGAAAAAAATATTGTCAAGTCCTGTGATATATGAATCTTATCGGCAAAAGTGCACAGCCATATTTGGATATTTTAACTACAGAACAAAGATTAAAAAAAAATAGATATGGGTGGTACCTCCTTAATTTTAACTAAGACTGATATTCAATCATGTAAAATCGATTTATATTGGCAGAACAGAAATAGAAATCTTTGTAGCACTACAACTCCATCTCGCATTCCTCTAGATTTTCCAATATTGATTTCAGCATTGGATTTGTCCATAGAGTCCTTCCCACACAAATTATTGATTTTTTTCTCCTCGGTAGAGCGTTAGTTATCCCTCCATCTTGTTTAAGGCATTTCTCTCAGTAAAAACAAATCCTGTTCAGTGACAAAAACAGAAGCTAAATGACAATGTGATCTGAGCGCTGACGTATATATATATTAGACGATAAGAACAGTCATGGCCGCGGCCATTGTAGGATATTTGGCTGTGGCCAATATTTTGGTTTTAACTGCTTATGGACGAGCTACAAAATATGGACAAATCGCTCTCGCTGATCTGCCAAGATTATTTGATGTAAGTAACATTTTTTAAAAGTCTTATCTAATGTTATTTCACAGGTTCTTTTTATCTTTCACGTAAGGAATTTTGAATGATTGACTGAGTGACTGAGTATACAGTTATAAACATGTAAATAAGACCTAATGCCTATAGAATTTATTTTTTACTTGCCTTTATATCTAGTTTCATTATACAGTTATTTCAAATAATGTGGAAATGTACAATAGATCAATATGTGTATAGTATCAATTACTACACTGTTAAGTATTCAACAACTACGGTGTACAAGTCTACTCAATTGGTCAATAGTTTAATAAGGCCTTACGTCAATAATTTCAAACTGTAACAGGTTGAATTAGTTATCTGGAACTTTTATTTGTTCTATAATTATTCTGAGAGTTAGTTTTATCATATGTTCTTAACTGCTATGTTAAAGTCATTATCTCGATCGTGGACAGTACCTGGTGTCACTTTCACATTATGGGATTCCCTAAACTACACTGTAATATGATTTTGTTTACATTTATATACATGTAAATAGATAGATTAATTAAATTGCAGTGAGATTATGCAAAAATGTTTAATATTACATTTTTTTTTCTAGATTTATGGATGTAGGAAAAATCGATTTATTACTTTAAATTCATACAAGATGTTACTACTATAGTTTTATAATTCAAAATGGTTGTATTCGAGCTGGAAGTAAAGACCCTCTATACTCAGTGGTGTTAAGCCGATATGCGTACCAGTAGGAAAGCATGTCCCAAGATGGCGAAAAGCTCGACAGCTTCGAAAGTTTTCATCGCTGGATATAATTGTTATGATTTAATTCTTTCGGTGAATTAGAATGTTTTGAATTTATAATGAGTCTTTAAACCTAACCTTACGTAGATGAATCCATAAATGCAAAATAAGTGATATTTTACGCGTAAATGAAAACAGTAATGATGTGCGTGCCTACATAATTAGAATTATACAAGTAGGTTCCGTGTCAATTTGTGAGCTACTGGATATCCATACCATGAAAATACAATCCAATCTCTCTCTCTCTCTCTCTCTCTCTCTAAATATGTTATCTAATTTAATGAGAAATCACCCCCCCACCCCTTATAAAACAGACAGAAAGTAGCAACATATACCCTACTACAATAGAATAAATGCAAAGGAGGTATTTGGGAAGATTTTTTATAATGAGCAAAAATAAGCGTGCGAAGGTATACACAAAACGTACATACCGGTGATGTAGAGTAGGATTTCCCCCATACCCAGCCCCCCCCCCCCGAATCTGATTTCTATGACTTCCCCCAGAGGGGGGAAAGTACAAATTTCGGTGGGGTGGGGGTGGCTATGGGAGAAATCCTATTATACAACACCGGTAGTAATCTAAAACATTACTTCTACCTTCTCGTCAGCTATGATCAATAAAATTCACAGTTAACCTTACAGTAAATTTATACAAATGAAATGTCATGTTTAGAAAATATACATAATTTAAATGAAAAAGACTTTTGTAGATACATTGTACATGTATATGTGTATGTATGGTAATATTCATACTAAAGCACTAAGGCCAATCCTCTCACTTTTTATGGTTAGTATGTTGAAATGCCCACTATATCGTTCAGATTATTTTCTGCAGAAAAAATGAGAGTATTAAGCCCCTCCAAGATTTCAGTTTTGTGAAATAGCCAACAGCCTACTCCCCTTCCCTTTTTTTTAACTTCACTTCTGTTTTTTTGTGTGTTTTTTTGGTGGCCAACCCCAACCCCCAACCCCCAACCCCCCCATCCTGGAAAAACCTTGCAGTTGAATTTAAAAGCAATTTATTTTACCTGAAACCACCCGTACAAAAAAATCTATTTGCACCATTACGGAGATCCGATGGAATTGTAGCCCTCTCCTGAAAATATCAGATAATAAATATCGGAGAGGGCTACATTATTGCAGCTACTAATAAAACAAATGACAAATATTTTAAAAGAAAAGTGGGACTAGTTTTATTCATTACACGATTTTAAATTTTTAAGCTAGTTTCCAGTAAACTTCTCGTAAAAATTAATTTACAACCTACTTTTACTTTTTTAAAACGTTCTATGGTGTCTTTTGGTAACAAAGAACCAAGGTGACACCTTTCAAATCTACGTGATGTCATTCCATTTTTATACAGGATGGTGCTTTGTTTGATGAGATCTACGATCAAAGAAGTGTATTTCCAGCACCGGAAATGGTCCCTCATTGGCCCGGACATGACGTCAAAGTGGGCCAAGTAGGTGGCATAGCAGTTGATAGTAACAACGAAGTATTAGTTTTCCACAGAGGAAGCAGACAGTGGGATTACAAGTAAGAATTAAGAGAATGTTTATATACAGGATAGGTCTCTATTGTTTTCAAATACAGAAGTAATGGTAACTGCGTATTTCAAACTACTGGTATCCCAAATGCTAGTACTATTCAGTACTTCTGTCTGAAAATTATTTTACATATCATTCTCTATATCTTTGTAGTTCTTTCGACCAAAACAACAGATTTATCGACCCTGATGGACGTGGACCAATTAAAGAGAATACTTTAGTCAGGGTGGACCCAGTCACAGGACATGGTATTGAGAGTTTTGGCGCCGGAAAGTAAGTTTGAGAACGATTCCAACTAAAAAATGAATTTAATCATAATTCTGTTTTCTACAATGAATTCTTGTTTGTCTTTTTCTTAAATATCCAATTACTTTTTATAGATTTTATATGCCCCATGGACTGACTATTGATAAAGAGGGAAATATCTGGGTCACGGATGTTGGATTACACCAGGTTTAATTTCTAGTTTTCTCTGTTTTTTGACTGCTTAATAAATTCACCATGCAGAATGAAACTATACTAAGATTTTAGATAATTATTTTGTAGGTCATGAAAATTCCGAAAGGTTCCCAGGAACCAAATTTAACTCTGGGTGTTCGTCTTACACCTGGAAATGACGACACACATTTCTGTAAGCCTACCGATGTTGCCGTTGCCTCTAACGGCGACTTCTTCGTTTCAGATGGGTATGCTACTATAATATTTATGTCAATTCAACGATTGGTGTGTTTTTTTAATTATTAGGGTATAATTAATAATTTTTTCCCCATCCGACAGATATTGCAACGGTCGAGTAATGAAGTTCAATAAAGAGGGGAAGTTGTTGCATCAGTGGGGTAGAATGTTTGAAGGTAAAGGGAAATAAGAAGTTCAAACTTTACAAAAGCACGTAAGGTCAGACAGAATTGATGTTTGAATTTGATTCAAGCAAATACAGAAAATAGAGAAAAAAGTAGAGCATCTTGAAAAAAAAATTTAGTTTGAGGTATATACGATCTTTTTGCAGAAAAAAAAAAATTGTTACTTTACTTTGTCAAAGGCAATGAACTTCTTATTTAGAAGTTTGGAAAAAGTTTAAAAGAGTGTTCGAAAATACACGAAAATGATTTTTGTCCTCATGAATCTTGCACACACATATTCATATATAAAGACCTTGGATATATACAAGTCATGTATATAAGTATTATGAACCTTTTAGGACCAGTAAATTCGGCTGGGAACGAAGATTTCTTTATTCCACACAGTGTGACCCTTATCGAGTCACGTGACACGATCTGTGTGGCTGACAGAGAACATGGGAGGTAAGTTACATGTAATTGGACATGTTTATTTTCGAAGTAAATGTTTATTTGTAACTTTAGTCTACAAAAGTTATTCTAATGTTTAAAGTGTTGCAATCTTATCTCTGTACTAGATGGTACTACTAAGCAAGGTCCACCCTCTCTCTCTGTTTAACAGAGGGTAGCTTCAGAACTGTAGCTTTTCTGGTTGAGAAAATTCGGACACACAAACCAGAGACCGAATTTTCTCAACCGCTACAGTTCTCCAGCTAAACAGAGGGAAAATGAGCCTTAAATTCTTTTTTTAAGGATTCAGTGTTTCTGTGCTGGTCTGAAGAATGCCAATGAGACGGGTCAGTTTGTATCCAGTATAAACCACCGAGAATTCGGAAAAGTGTTCGCTATTTCCTATGATCCAAACTGTAAGTACTGAAAGAAGAGCTGTGCTGTTGTAGTGTATTGCACAGACTGGTAGAGATTTAAAAAGACATGTGATAGTCAAAATTGTTTTGTGTCAGTTGAAGAAGCACAGAAGAGTTTAAAGTGAAACTCCTGCCAGGGGCGAAATAATACGGGTTGTGTGTCTTCGAAATACAATTTAAAGTTGGAGAAATGCAGTTGTTTGGGCAATATGGACCCTTGGTATCAGCCTTAATAGATCAGTGGTTAGAGCACCTGAATAGGGTCCCTGGTTCGATTCCCGATCCAGGCATATTTTTTTTTCTTCTACCGGTGTCGGTAGCCTAGTGATAGGGCGTTCACATTGTTCGGGAGGTTCCGGGTTCGATTCTCGTTCCCGGCACCGCATTAAACCTAAGACGGTTTACGTATGTAGTGACTGTTCCGTCGCCAAGCGCCCGGTACCAGAATTGAAAGTCGCGGGTCTTTCGGATGAGAAAGATTAAATCAAACAAGTTGTAGTATATAGGGCTTACCCACTACTCAGCCCCCTACCCTATCACTGCTACCCACAAAAAAGCGTAAATTTGTGCTTAAGGATATCCGATCCTCAGCCAGGAAGGATAATTCTTAAATTTATTATTTATTTAAAAAGTCTCAAAATGAAGCTTGAAATTGAGATCTTTTAATGCAACAATTTTCATTTTATGCATCTCAATATGATTCAAGGTTCTTTGAAGTCTTAGAAGCAATCTTTTAAAAAGTTGACATTTGTACCCAATAAAATAAAAAAAAATAAATTCATTTTTAGATAAATCAAATTTCCTTTCATCTAGCATTATAGATACCAATTCTTATTTGTATGATATGAAATAAGATGTGATATGTGATGTCTAGCAATGATAGCACAAGTTTCTTACACTATGTATTACATAATAATTGAAGTAAAGAGAAGAACTAAAATACCGTATAAGCATAAAAAAGATGCAATTTTCTCCAAATGCCTTGATACCTATATTTTTGTTATCCTATATTATATTTTTTGATCAATTTTCAATAAGAAATGCATAGCTGGTATTCTTATAAAATATATTTGAGATCTGATAATTTTCCCTATATAAAATGATTAACTATAATGATGAACTTTGAAGAAATACCATGGGCAATTCCACGTTACTATGTGAAACCAGAGACATTTTGTGAGCATTTTCAATTACTTAAGGAGACTGGGGGGTCAACAAATTAACCATCAGATATAACTTATTTTTTTAGATATGATATCTTAAGCTGTCAACTATCATTTGGCAAAGAAAAAAATTCATACATTTTAGTTTTAAAATTTGATCATTTTTGTATATCTTTATATGGAGCTCTTCTTCTAAAGGAGATCAATATAGTCTAAAAATGGCCACGACCACCAAGCCCTCTTAAAAGCTGATTTTCCGAATCTGAGGATCGGACTACCTTAAGAGGTTTAGCAGACTAGTACTGTATATCTAATACTAAGTACACGTATTTAGAAATGAGTTAAAACAGTGCAACATGGAACAAATTTTAATTGATATATTTCTGATTTGTGTGTCCACTCTGAAAATCTGACCCGACATTTTATGTTAACTTGTGCAGTGGGTGTTTATTTATGCTGTAATTATATATTTTATACTGGGTGTGATCTATGCTGTAAATAAATGTGATCTATGATGTAAATAACTATTTTGGGTGTGATCTATGCCCTAAATGGATGTGATCTATGGTGTAAATAATTTTTTTTTTCAGTGGATGTGATCTATGCTGTAAATGGCCAAACTTACTTCGTCTCCGAGGTGGTCGGTTTCACTTTAGAACTCTCAGGAAACATTGTTGAAAAATGGTCTCCTTCAGGAATGGTAACCTTCTCTTCTCAGTTTGAACATCACATTTTTTTTTTCAAAATCGATAATTTTTGATCATTCTCAGTAATGTCGAAAGACATGGAGTCAGTCAAAATATATGATACTGAAAATTTACTAAATGTAATCGTAATTTTTCGGTTATTTCCGTAACCTGAAATTACAGTTTTCGGTTACGGAAAAGGACGAGCATGATCTGAATGATAGTTATCATTACTCTTTTGTTATCCCTGTTGCAGGGCTTTCAGATGCCCCATGACGTAGCTGTCTCCCCCGATGGTTCCAGTATCTACGTAGGTGAGGTCACTCCTGACAGAGTCACAAAGTTCAGAAGATCCTGATTCCAAAAATATGTTGTCTGTTTGAAAGAAACATGTTTACTTCTCAATGTTTAGTGTTGTTTTGTCAACCTTCACACCATCAAAAATAGGCATAAAATCGACATGAATTTGAGAAATCATCCATCAAAATCTACCAACTAAACAACACAATTTCCTTGTATGAATTTTTTGTATCTTTAATATCAAAAACTTTAGAGAAACAAAGGTGTACATTCCATTTACCTTCCTTGAACCAAAGGAAGAAAATTAAAGACTTAGTGCTCTGGCACTCAATGCTCTTTCACGAAACTTGCGTTTTGCGGTAAACATTGAGACTCGACCTGATGTACGTTTCAAGCACCATATCATTCATAGTTGTTATATTCATAAACCATGATTGTTTATTTCACTGTTACATGTAATTCTGAATATTACTGCCCACCATTTCTACATGAAACAGCAGCATTTGCTTTTCCGTACCGATTTTGACCGTTTCCTCCAGGGTTTAATGAGGGTAAGAAAAGTCTGATTTCGCGTATAAGGAATATTTCTATGAATTGTAAATGTATTATTTGTGTTTGTGATATCAATAAGTAAAACGTTTAACTATCAAGCGGCTTTTCCTACTTAAATTGTGATTTTGCAGAGTGAACGTTTTGTCAATTTGAATTATTATTGTGGTGTGTTTTTAAATATAGGAGTTCAGAAATTTTCACGTATAACTCTCTCGTGGAATTGTATTGTTTTTTATTCAAAACTGTGGAACTGATTTTCCTCAGGAACTGTTTTATTTGCCTTCTGTAGATGTATAATTGAAAAATCTGCTTAAGGACTTTCAAAATCTAGTCATTGATTTTTGTTTGAAATAAAGGTCGTCGTTTTGTTGCATACGTTATTCGTTGTTAATTATCAAGTATTTAGAATGTATTTACTTACTGCACTAGCGCAGAAATAGGAGACAGATATTCGAATTTAAGGATTCACTTATTTTTTTATTCTGCACCTCCTAGATCACGGAAGAAGTGGATGAAAACGATACTATGGTTAAATTGCTGAGATGACATGAACATTGTTGAAAATGGATTCTGAAAATTTTCTTTAGAGAAGTGGAAAGGCATAGTGTACATCCAGATGGATGCAGGCTATGTTTGTCCACTTCACTTAAGTAAGAGGATAGGATTATGTGCAGTGGAGTTATCAACAGTATACAAGACACACCTTCTGTCCTATATGATGCAGATTTTCTGCATTTCCCATTTTATGATGCCTTTTCCCGTGGTGTTTCCTTTTTACTCTCGCCTAGACAAGAAAACCCGAGATATGTTTGATTGGAATTGTTCCATTCATATATCGAGACAAGCTTAATTTTCACTCCAAGATCCAAGCATTCTTTGCATTTTAAAATGATTTGTCGCCTTTTGTAGTTCATGAAATGCAAGTACTCTAATCTAATTTAATTTATTACACACAACAATTCCATAATAGCGCAATAAATAAAGAAACGTATTATACATTACAAGAAAATAGGACATTCGCAAACAAGGTGCATGTGATTTTCTTTAGAGAAACTGACACATTATATGCATTTGAATCAAATTTTTTCTTCACCAGTAACTCAATGATTAGGTGCTAGTGTTTTTTTTTTCTTTGCCTTCAGACTTCCTAAATGAAAGTATTGTGAATTTTCATTGGCTCCTGTGCCACCTTAGCAAAGGATACACTTTTTCCACCTCCTTGTTTAGAGAGTTCTTTCGAAGTTGTAGTTTCGGTATTCTCTTTGTTTTCTTGAGGATTGCAACTGTGTTGTTTAATTACATGGCAGCTGGGAGACGAGATGGTTTTGGGACCTCCTCCAAATTTGCCATGCTTATTTTTTTTGTTTCCATGTGGTGACATCATTTGTTGCGGGGGTGTGCTTGATGTTGATGGAGGACGCTGAGATGGTTTTTCCGGTTGCATAGGAGCCACAGAAGCGATGGCGATTTTTTGAGCTGGTTTAGGATTTTCTTCCACTGGTTTTGTTTGAGGTACTGGGTCTGTTTTCTCCTTTGTCTTTGATATTGATGTATCAGTTTCTGTAATTTCAAACGACGGCTTCAACACCTACACAAATTGAAAATCAAATTGTCCTAATGATTCTGCAAGAAAACAATAAAACGCAATGGTCATTGCCGTTAACTTTACGCCTAAAATAAAGCCATAACAGAGCATTACAGAGATAACATGTGCTATATACTTACAGATTTATCGGTTTTATTACTGTCCATTTTCTTCAAATCGGAAGTTTTTTCACCCTGCTTTTCATCGGAGATCTGAAAGAGATAGATCCTGAAACTATATGTGCATCACAACATATACAGTATATAAGTACGAAACATTATAAATGTAAACATGTAGGATAAAAAAAGGCAAACGAGTCACGCACAGACAGCATGCATTTATTTGCTTCTTAGCACATCCTAAAACAGTCACTATCAAGATACTCTTAACAATGACAAATATTTCCATGACACTGAATTGATTAATGTCATAAAATTAGTGTCATGGAATGGAAATCATGTCTGCGTGTGTGCATTTTTTTTTGGGGGGGGGGGGCTTTTCAGTGAATACCTACCTTGTTCAGGTCAGATTTGTCCTTGGACATCTGTACTTTTTCCTCTGATTTATCTTTGGTGGTTTTCTCCTTCAGCATCTTGAATCCCCCCTCCTTAGTAGACTCCACTTCCAGTTCCCCCTCCGACACCTCTTCCTCCGAGTCAATCGTTTCATCCGTGCTGTCCTCGTCTGTGGGCTACAAAATTCATTGAGAGAAAAGAAAAAAGGATTTCGTGGTATTTCGCACTTTAGAATTCTAAACCAGAGAACAAAGCAAATTGCAATGGTCTCTACATATGTAGTAATATTCTCCATCGAAGCAATGGTTGGGCAATGTATTCAAACATGCTAAGCTTATTCATAAATTAAGCAACATTCAGTATATTTAGAAAAAATGCTGAACAGGTATGTTTATTTATTTCAACTATTTAATGGGTACCATTAATGGTGATGGAAAATGTTTTACAAATATACATATTTTTATCTTGCGTTTAAAATGTTTCTGTATGAATAAGGATGCAACTGCTTTGTAAAAGAGCCTCCCTACAAGGTGTTTACAAACGTAAATACATGTACCTCATAATCTGGATCATCCTCAGATAAGTAGTTGTCCAGATCCAGATTGGTCAGGTCATCCTCGGAATCATCAGAAAAGTCAGGGTGCTTCCTCTTCTTCTGTTCACACGTCAGTAGAGAGCACTCGTTCAGCGACTCTAGAAAAATGTATAGGTACATAGAATAAGGAAGTAGTCTAAATAAAGATTAGAAGACAAAGCCCACTGGAAAGTGCAGCCTTCCTGGAAACAACAACAAAACTTACTATTCCATCCAAAATAGCATAATAGATATAAAAATCCCCTCACCATTAGAACTTAATTTGTACAAGTTTTGTCTGTCACCCCTGTACTAATGTTTTGGGTTACAGTACATCCAAGGCACCTGGGACAAGATGACAAAGGGGCCTACCTCCACCTTTTTTTGTGACATGCGCTATTCTTTATTGCTCATTTACTTGCCATTTTTACCCTTTCCCACTTACTTTGCAAAACGATGGCATGTACCTGCATTCCACTACCATATGCTTAAAGTATCCAATTTAACACTTACTGTGTTTGCTACAAGTGAGGAACCTCCTAATGTCTGTCTGTTTCACGTGACTCGTCGGGATCCCAAACAAACGGAAGGCGGCGTTCTTCACATTACCCCATAAGGAGGAGGGAGGGAGCCGCTTTTTTGGCGATACCTTTAAAATGTTGTGTGCACAGGGTTGAAATATAAATTGCATTGCAGAAAGTAAGTCAATTTTCCAATTTAGAGTTACTTGAAAAGTTTTCAGTGGAGAATAAGAGAGTGAATTTCAACAAGAATATGCAGTCAATTTAAGAGAAATTATATTATATAAATGTTGACTGACGTTTTTCATACTAATTGTTAGGCCATTATTTATACACTGTCTACGGATTTTTCCGGTTTTTTTTTTATCATGGCAAGGAGCACACGGTGGGTGTGACCGGTCGGCAGGAGATGCCTCCATGGCACCTGATCCAGGCCCGTAGGAAGCAATTTCAGTTTTGGGGGGGGGGCACAGCTATACATTTTCAGTTGAGGGGGCACTATCAACTACCAAAAATTCCTTGACAAGCAAAGAAAAAAGGTCATCAGGCATTTTCATTGAGGGGGCACAAGCATACAGTATCTATTTTTTCTATAGTACTCTATATGTCGGCAAAATTAGGGGGCACGGCCCCCCGTGCCCCCCCCCCCCCCCCGGTTCCTACGGCCATGTGATCCCACCTCTAAATTTTGAGGTCTGTGTTTGCTCTGCTCCAAATTTGTATCGTTTCATTGGACTTTTGAGATTGAATACTGTTCGTTATCTTCATATTTCATTCAAGTCTTATATTCTATCGACAGATTTTCGATTATAATTTTCAATATTTCATTTGCATTTTTTTTCTCTCAAACACATTGGAATTATTTTTTCCTACCTTTCTGCGGGAGTAGATCTCGTCCAGCTTCTCAGGACTCATTGTCCTGGAAGTGACGTTACGGGTCGATCGTCTGCTAGCACTGCTGGTGGCTTTATGATGTTTTGAACCATTTATGAAGCTTTTTGTTTCTTTCAGAAAACAAATCTGATTCAAATATAAAATACAAGATGTGTGTTCAAACTTTTTACATTCAATTTAACAATTATTCAGTTATTTGTAGCTAAGTATACATATACATCCTTCAATTTTTCTCTGTTTAAATAAAACTTACAAAAACGGACATCGGAAACAGCAGAAATCTTCTGATCAATTCTAATATACTCTTCTCTTCATCTGAAATCTGTTATGATTTAAATACGACGAGATGTTAATGTTACAAATTACAGAAAGTTGCAACAAAAACACACAAAATTTTGAGTTATATAAAAATAACGTTACCTATAATCACCATTTCAACAATAAAAACAGTTGCACTCGAAAGAGAGAGAGAGCGAGCGAGACTAGTGAAAAAGCTTTGTAACATTTGTGTCCATTTGATTCAGCAAACCTGTTTGAGAATATAGATTGGACACAAAAATTCATGGGAAGAGTTCTACAGCAATGGTGTTGTTGATGTGTTGTTAACTAACCTTGTCAACCCAGATTTTCCCCCTACTTTTCTCCTCCAATAATTGGCCTTTGCTTGATTCTTTAGAGATGGGTGACGTCTGCACATGTTTCTCTGACGTAGAAGTGGATCTGGGTTCCAGAAGTTGCATTGGGCCCTCTGTCATCCAAAGCATGAAGTCGAGTCCGAATATCAGGAATTTTCCCAGAAAATTATTGAAAGCCGAGCGGGTTTTCTTTTTTACATATCTCATTGATCGTTGTCGTGTTTTTCTTATTATCTGTATAAGAAAGAGAATTTTATCCTCAAGAATTTTCTTATTCAAATGCTGAAAATAAAAAAAATCTAAAAATTTGTTCAATGTTAGACCAAAATTTCGATACCTTTTCTGGTCTTTTCTGAAGCAGTGGGTATGAATCTTTCAAGTCGGCTATTTTATCTCCAACGACTGCATCAATATTGGAGCCTTCAATATATAGATACAATTTAATATTTCTTTGTCCTACAATTGCGTCAAGGATATTCTTATGAACATTGAGAACATTATAATGCTGCTAAATATGTTTAACTAAGTCTAGAGAAGAAATATAAGATAAACAGGTGCATGTACGAAGTTAAATACTTTACTGTGTACCTATTAAGAAATATTAGGTACTACCAATATAATGGAATCGTTGTAACTGAGAAAGGGGTCCTTCAAATGAGATGTAGACCTACTTTTAGTACAACCTTCTAAACATGCCCAGTATAATCTCTTAATTTAGCTATATGGCTTTATTAAGCTATTCAGAATAGCTTGATAAAGTTATTCATATGCAATTTTTCACAAAAAAAAAATCCAAAACGTTTTTTGTAAGAAGTGAACAAAAAAGTCGCAAGTATTTGACTATTACATGTAATACATGTACTACGTACTATCAAAAAAGCAGCCCAAATCAAAGATATAGCTTTAACATTGCAGCTTTTGAATACTTTTATGCAATAGATGTATACATTGTTTGGATAACTGTACACCACCTTGTGTGACACTGTGTGAAGTAAGGTTCTCGAGGAGACGCAGTTTGATTTTTACATCAATGTTTTCAGGACAAAGTTGAACACTTATCACTGCACTAAGGTGCAACTTTTTGTACATTGCTGGAAATAACACATTTATAAAAAAAGGTGTTATGAAATAGCTAAATCAAGTATTTCTGAATAGCTTTATAAAGCTATATAGCTAATTCAAGCTTTATAGCTTAATCAAGAGATTGTGCTGGACCTGATAATATCTGAATGTATCGATGACCTACGTGTTTTTATGCGTTTTAGACAGGTCTGGTACAATCACTACATTTAGCTACGTAGCTTGAATTACCTATATAGATTTATTTACCTACCTGAAGCAGCTTTATTTAGCTACTAAATCAAACTTATTTTTTAAATTAGCATTTTTTTCAGAAAGTGCAGAAAATTGCACTTTGAAGCAGTGATAATGTTCAACTTTGAACTCATCTGAAAACAATTCATGAAAAAAATCACTCTTAGAGATGTGTCTTTTTCTGCGCGTAAATAAAGCTATGGTTGGTAATTGTAGCTACGTAGCTAAATGTACTGATTGTACTGGACCTGTTAGGTACTTAAAGATTAACGTTAATGAATAATTACAAGATTCAAACATTTAAACAATGCAACAAGTAAATGATTAAAACATCTTGAATCTTACAAGAAAAATGCAAGAGTTGCTTATCTTGCCCTGAGTGAATCATTTAGGACAGGGCAAACCTCAATTCCTATCTATTTTTTTCTATATTTTTAAAAAAATATTATAATTTGTGTGGCAAAAAAATCAGTTTTGGATATTATATGAAATAAAACTATTTGCACTAGTTAATTTACGCATACACAGTGCATGTGGCAATTTGGAGATTTTTTTCCCAAAGTAATTTATTCTGTATTTCTTAGCATCAAAGGAAAAGGGTGGGGGTGTTAATCACTGATTCATCACCGTTTTCTACGGAGATCTACAGGCTAGATTATAGAAAGCAATAATTAGGAGTTTGAGTGGTTTTCCTCTGTAACCACGTAACAAAGTTCGAATTCGCAATACTTTACTGTACAATACGAAAATCATTTTTTTTTTCCGAAGAGAAACTCAAGGAACGTACTTACCAGCCAGTCTTTTAATATGCAAACTTTCTGCTAGAAAATTCCATCCCCATTCTAGAGCAGAGAATCCCACCTCCGTCGCAGAGCATATTTGCTTAGTTTTCTCGTACAGTTGGAGAGCGCTATCTACGGCAGGGATTTCTTCCAATTCCTCCCATATTTTGAAGTGATTATCTTCAACTTCGTTAGTAATTTTTAGTTTCTCCGCTTCTCTCTCCATGGCCGCCCTGTACATGTCTGAGGAAGGCGGTAAAATGACTCTTTACACACGTGAAGACAATTCAATCTGGTGACGATTCGGTTGACTGCCCTTAATTCTTTTGTCCCGAGTAGCAATCGCTTGGAATGAGATTGGCAAACATTGCCTCTTATGTTTTATAAATTCAAATCCATTTTACCGAAAAGCAAGTATGATTTCCATTTTTTGACATCGCTTATAATAATTATTATCTTAATATTCTAAAAAAATAATAATAATAATATAAAAGAGAATAATTATGTGCAACCAAGAAGGAGCGGATCAAACGCAGCTATCATAGGAACATGCATGTAACAGTCTACGAAACGACACAAAATCACTGCTTTTAAGCAAAATCAGTTAAAGCAATATAAGCTGCATTTTTGGGAATTTTATTTTGCTGTTAAAAATGTGCTGTTATGATAAATCTGTATGTAATTTAATCCTTTATGATCAATTAGACTAAAAGAAAGGATTAATTTTTTTCTGTACAATGGAATGTATAGTATTATATTAGAAATCAATATTGTACAGGACGACAATAATGTCATCTTGCTTCGATCAAAGCATATAAATAGTTCTTCCATCGCAAATATGAACAACAGAAGTTTAAAAACGTTCTATTTTCTGTCTTTGAATTTGTTAATTACAATATTTCAACAAATATTCCGACATCATATTGCTTTAAATATATAGATGTATATGTATGCATTTATTTGAATATCATATACATGTATTTGTTGACTCCAATTTATTAATGAAGTGTGTTACTACGAGTATTCGTATCTGAATTACTTGAACACCCGTAGCACGCATAGTCAAATAATTTTCGGCATTGCAATATACGTGGTACTATTTGAACCCCCCCCCTCTCTCTCTCTGGGTTGTAGTTTCTAATTTGTCTCTTTTGACAAATGCTACTGTATACATAGAAGATATTATATAAATAGTGCACGTTTTTGAGGGTAACAGTTAAAATTGACACCCCAAGGAAAACCATTGTCAACCGACGCGTCAGCGGAGGTTGACAATGGTTTTCCGAGGGGTGTCAATTTCAACTGTTACCCTCAAAAAACGTGCACTATTTATTTTATTATACTGAATGTCTTATTGATTTCGGATGTCATAAAAAAAAAATTCGGAGATCGTCGTTAAGTTCACGCTTAGAAAGCTTTCAAACGGTTAGAAAGCTTTCAAACTCACCGCTTCTATTTTTCTCAATAAGAAAGCTTCGTCTGTCGTTTGTTGTTTTCAAGTAAGCTACATCGGACGCAAGCTTTTATTGACGTCGTTTATTTGGCTTCTTTCAAACGCACAACTGACGTTTTGAGAATTCTACGGTGAACCGTACGCGCATGATTTGAACGCATGTGACATTTTCGTAATGTTACCCGTTGCCAACTGTGTTGCTAACGCTGAGGGTAATATTACGGATTGTTAAATGCGTCTAAACCAATCAGATTTTAGTATTTAACATGAAAGTATAATAATAACTACATATTAAATGTTAATCAAATTAGCCGAGAGCCTTTTATCGTGATGTAAACCCCATGGTCCAATACGACAAATGTACTCCGATATAAATCTTACGAGTATCTAAATATTGCACAATGAAGAGTTCTAATTCCATGGTAAATTTATGCAGTTGGAGTAATTTGCTCTTTGATGTAAGATAGTCTACAGTGAAAATGTTAGATTTAATTCTGCATTAAATAATACGTACTGTATCACGCTTATCAAACTTAATCATGAAAATTTACTTTATTTATTGCCTTTGTAGGCTTTTGTATCGAACTCTGATAGCAATAATTAAAGAAGCGAATACATGCGCACGTACTAGTATTAAAAACAATTCCATTGGGTAGTTTCCATATTATAGACATGCGAATTCCGTTTATAGACATGCGAATTCCGTTTTAGAAATTTTCAATTTTATGTGCATTAAAGTCCCATAACCTATCTAGTAATGTCCAGCCAGACAAAGCGAAACTTAACGTGATACATTGTACAAATCGTCAACTTAACTGACAGGTGCCCTCACTTATCTTACAACACACGGAAATAGTATTTTTATGGTGTCCGGGCTGTTTTGGATACCGTAATATGTGTCTTGATGGACAATGATGCACACATTAAATTAATTCTGTTTAATACTAGTACCAACGCTTTTATTTGTTTTTGATTCGTTACTTTACCAATTTCCCCGAGGTCATTAATGCGCGCGCGCGAGTGTGTGTGTGTGTGTGTGTTTTTCGGGTAAATTTGATGCTGTCATATGGTGTATGTTGTCACATCTTCGGACACCTAAAAAAGGTGACTTTAAACCAAAAAAACAAAACGAAAGATTTAGACCGAACACTAGCAAAGAATCAATTCTTGTCTGCAAAATGGCGATACAAGGACTTACATGTAATAGTTGTTTACTGCAAATTCATCTATTTTTGACCGTTCCCTAATGTGCTTCAGGTAAAGTCGCAGAAAATTGTTCAAAGAAAACAACCTAAAGCCAATGGAATTTTTGTTGCATTTTTTGTTCTTTTGTTTGCGTGTTTACTACTTTTAAAATTTTGTTTTATATTAGAGTTTATCTGTAGAAATGAATGAGTAGGGATTCGGACAAAGTTATAATACACTTTGATGTCCAGTTTTGAAGAATTCAAATTTAATCAAAATAAATTTTTAATTTGTCAGATCTTATTTCTACTTTAATTTGTTTGCTTGTGCCGAAAATAAAAGTGTCATAATTCAGAATGTATATAAACTCTACAATCATATTCATTTTATGCTTTTCTGTTTCACAAAGAGATCGCCATTTTGTCTATTAAAAAATTCTTAGATTGCATACCCCTCTGCATAAATTTTGCCCCATTTCGTCAATGAGTTCACATTTTATTTCATTTCTGTAAACATAGATTTTAAAATATTTAAATTCAAATTATTCATTGTATTTAATTTACTTTTCAATAGGCATATATCTCAATACATGTGTATCATGTCGAAAATACAAATCATAAATTGTAAGTGCTATGTACAGAATATCACAGATTTTTTTAAAGGCTTCGTGCCCGTAAGCAAAAGATATGAGTATCTGAAAATTGGCGTAATTGGTCACTAGAATATTTGCGTGCGTGACGTCATTGCAGCAATAGGCGACTTCAAAGTGAACATTAATATTCAACCAGATTTCTGTCATTTCCACTATCCAACTTTTGCAAGTTTTTTCCCTAATAACTGGCTTTAGCGAGAATCAAGAATTTGTTTTTTCCTTCTCAAACGATATGGCAATTGTTGAGTTAGACCCTTCTTGTTATTTCCACCAAAAGCAAAAAATGTGTATTTTACTATGTTAAAGGAGGTTAACTGACTCCAAAGATGGAGCTTCTACTTGCGTGAAAAAGAAATCACCCACCAAAAAAAGCTCCAAAATTGTTTTTATCTAACAAATGCATGCCTATGAAAATATTGAATTAATTTTTTGTAAAGCAGTTCTGCGCACTATCTAGTTCCCAAAGTTCATTTTATTCTATGATCATCATCCCTTCGTTTTCTTCCTGTCTGTCGTAGTTTGCTGAGGATCTGATTTTGGTTTTGAAGTATTACCTTGAGGGTTCGACTGAACTTGTGAATTCGAACTGACCTGGGGTTTTGAATTCTTTTGAACTTGATTTATATCATTAGATGCGTTAGCTTTAGAAGAATTTTTCTTTGTATCAGACTGCTTGTTATCATTTTCATTAGGCGCTTTTGGCGTTGCTTGATTTTTATTCTTTGCATCGGGCTGCACCGGATTTTTATGCTTTGGGTTAGGATTTGACTGATTTTTATCTACCGTCTTTGGCTGTTGGTTTTTGTCCTTTGCATTAGACTGCGCCGGGGTTTTATCCTTTGAGTTAGCATTAGGCTTATTTTTGTCCACTGCATTCGGCTGGGGTTGGTTTTTGTCCTTCGTATTAGGCTGTGCCGTGTTTTTATCCTTTAAGTTTGCATTGGGCTGATTTTTGTCCGTCGTCTTTGGCTGTGTTTGGTTTTTGTCCTTTGTATTAGGCTGCGCCGGGTTTTTATTTTTGGGGTCAGCATTAGGCTGATTTTTGTCCACTGCCTTATGCTGGGGTTGGTTTTTATCCTTTGGGTTAGAATTAGGTTGATTTTTATCTTTCGTGCTAGGCTGTGCCGGACCTTTGTCCTTAGCATTAGCCTGTGTCGGATTGTTAGCTTTGGGGTTTGGTTGGTTTTTATCTTTTGGATTACTATTAGCTAGATTTTTATCCTTTGCTTTAGGCTGAGGTTGATTTTTATCCTTTGCCTTAGGCTGTGGTTGATTTTTATCCTTTGGTTTAGTATCAGCTTTTGCATTAGGTGGCGGTTGATTTTTGTCTTTTACGTTCGGCTGAACATTTTTTGAGTTTGGCTTTGCTTGTTTGTTGTTCTTCTGCGCAGGCGTTGTTTTGCCGCTTTGTTTGCCCGGTGTAGGAGTCTGGCTAGGTTGCTGCTCTTGTTGCCTATCTTTGTCAGATTTATTCGCCATATTGGTATTCTGAGGAGAAAAAAATCGCCAAAATTATTGGTTTTCTTGGTATTCTAATAATTTAAAAACACCATATTGGTACTAAGTATTCTAATAAAAAAAATATCCATATTGGTATTCTAATTTAAAAATCGCCATATAAGTGTTCTAATATTATATAAAAAATCGCAATATTGGTATTCCATTAGAAAAATAGCCATATTGATATTCTGATTTTTTTAAAAATCAAAGTGATATCAATATTGATTATATGACATCAAAAAACATCGCGATTTCCCATTAGTACTACAGAGTTGGAAGAATGAAAACCAAATGCTTTTCTCTTTGTTCTCTTGTATTTGTTTAATTACCGTACATTATTTAATGTAAACAACAAACTGTTTTGTAATTAATTAAAACTCTTGAAAAACAGTATTGTCGCTCGTCAAACAAATAGTGTTCCCACAAATATGGCACTACAAAAATCAATTTTTCCTATCATAAATCTAAAAAAATATTCATTGTAATTGTTTGCATCAATGTTTTTAACAATCCTTGATATCGACGCCAGAATTCAGTGATCTTCACCAAAGAATGCAGGCGATTGAACATTTAGCAACATCGTTTATTTGTTGCACAATTGATTTTCTGTTCCCCCTCCATGTGATTTTTTTTAAAATTCAAACATTGAATATAGCCTATGTTTTGAAGTTAGTAGTTACTTCAGAATTAAAATTAAATTACAAAAAAAAAAACCAAACAAACAAACAAAATAAAACAAAAAATAACAAAAAACAAAAACAAAACACAACTCAAAGCATACCCAGACATAGAAGGTTGCTGCTCCATTGCTGACTCCCCGAATTTGTTCTAGTGAAAATTTAGACTGCATCTTCAGAACTCTTTGACTTGTTTTAGAATTTATATTAATGGTATCTGCGTTTCGAACTTCCCTTATTAAACTCTCTTTTCCATATCGACCTAGGAGGCATTGTACATCAGTCCAGTCCTAAGAACATAACAGAATCATTAATAGTAAATTATGTATCATTATTTTTTTTTCATTTAAAACTGTTCTGATAAATCATTATTTCAAAAGTACTCATTTATGTAGTAATTGAAATTTCTCATCTCCATTGGAGATGTTTGGTGTCTGTTGATTTAGGCGAGTGAAGGAGTGACCGTATTATAAGTCGCAATATCAAACGATTTCCATTTTATTTTTTTTTAAAAGTCATGTCGTCCCTCATTTCCAGAAAGAAAAGAAAACACCTCACACATACACTTAGTTTTTCCTCGTCATAACCAAGTAACATATACGTTCCCATCATGACCTCATGGACGCCATCTGGTGGGTGATGATAGCTTCGTATCTCCGAGATCGTTGATTGGTCCATTTCGAGGATATCATGGCGATACTGATCAAGTTCCGTCAAATGCTCGCGCAGCCTTTTAGCTGTGTCAAGAGGTTGACTTAACTCGGAAACGTACTCCGAGGCTTCCACTCTTTCGATTGCTTTGTCTAAAATGCCTGGATGACGTCGTAATATTGCATCACGAAGTTCTGTGTAATAAAGAAAAAGTTACCTTATTCATTAACACTGATCAAGAATATACACTGTTTTAAAGGCAAATAGTAATCTTGTAGTGCATTGTAAAGACAATCATGTGTTTTGCTAAATTGTACAAGAATGCTTATTAAAATGTAGTGGGAAGAATTCACACATTTGTGTATGTTAATTTAGTTATCACTATGCGTGTGTGCAATGTTACCTTTTCTAAGATATAAAAATTTGAGCCTCTCTGTGGCGTCTGTGTAGTCGCCATTGTCTTCCAACTTATTCTTCTCGAACATAGCTATGGCATGTTCCAGCTCCTCGATGTCCGAGTTTGTGGCAGCTTGCCTCAATTGTTCTCGAATTCGTTTCTACATAATACAATATACGTTTATATATTACTACTACTATTATTCCAAATTTTGTCTTAGTTTCTCAATCAAATTGGTATCATATTTCTCTTAATCTACTTTAGTATTCGGTTACAGACAAAGCCTAGCGTATTTAGCGAAAAAAAAAACCAAAAACAAAATATATTAGCAGCTACTGAACAGAAGTTGTGCCCTATATCTCTCAGTTTTGAAATGTGAATGGAAAGATGTGTTGATTTTAGTTGTAGACAAGTTATACGTTTCATTTGTTTTAGTAAATTTACGTGTTATAGGAAGTTCAAGGTTGATAGGGTTGACAGTTTTTCTGTTAATACTTTATGAGGTCTCCTCTTTGGAATGCAAATCCTTGAAGTCAATTACTTGTCTAGTTTGTTTCAATTGCTGTATATAAGAAATACTTTAATCCGTAGATTACAGGTACAAATTTTGCTAAAGGCTTCGTGTCGCTACAATTTTGCAAGTACACTGTACATGACCCAAAGACCTTGAAAGTCAACTGAATCTCTTGGACAATTCCAGATTATCTCTAAAACATGAGTCATACTTATGTCAAATGCGAGTTACTCATATTGCTTTGCTACAAAATTTATGACAAACCAAAATCTTACTCTTTTCATCGACAAAAATTATAAACAAAATAAGATTCACGCTTTTCCTTTCAGTCTTTCGGTAACCTTGACCACGAAAAATAACCCTAATTTAAGGATGTATGCAACTTTTATACTCAGTGTGAGCATCCGGTTTTGTTCTTCTCCAGCCTTTAGTTATATCAAAGTTTGTGCCAAATGGACAAAACTATCGAAGTGAATGGCTTTAAACTTACCTAGAACCTTGAGCACTGGACCCATGGTTTTAGAGAGATTTTGTAAATTAGCACAAATCGTTTTCGTGTCACTCTAATTGTCCAGGATTAAGGGTATAGTTTTGAGATTGCTAAACTTTTACGATAGGTTCCTACTATAGCAGGATTCAAGATGATGAGGTCCAGGACCTTTACAGGTCTACAATCCTTTCACCTTTAGATCCTATATATACCGAAAGAGGGTGAAGTTACAATCTTTCCACTTAAAATACGTTTTTCAGAGAAGAAGATGAAAATTCTTTCAGTTTACGACAGATGGTATTGATAGCATTAGTTCAATTTGGCGACTAAGGTGACCGTAATTCTCATTTAGCAATATAAATGTGAAAATATCTGTACCTGAAAACTTAAACTTAGATAAAAAATGTGCATGTGCTCGTATTGCTTTGTTCTAAAAAAAAATGCGTTACATGTTTGATTTTTTCCCTGTAGATAAGTTTACTCTAAAAAAAATATATAAGAAAAATAAAGAAAAGAAGGCTATCTATAAAAATATAGCCTCATATAGGAAAGACACCAGACAGTAATACTTGCACAAAAGAAGCATTTGAGACAGATGAGGTCAAGATGGCGATTTATCAGTATTGAAACTATGCTCTCCGGTAAGTATATCATGCCGGTTGCTAATTGGTATGATTACTGTCATATATTGATATTTTAAAATATATACAACGGCAATAACTCAGTGCTGATCTATTGTTATTGTATGTTAAAGTTACCTTTTGTGGCAGTCATTTTTTGTCAAAAGCGACTGAAGTATTAAATGGTACTACATGTATATATGTTCCGGTTTTCTTTGAAGTGTGTGAATTTGCCTGGGGGTATATATGTTAATTGCATGACTTACCTGAATGTTTCTGTGTAAACTGTATAAACTTGCATGGTTTTATCTGTCTTAACAGTGTGACTTACTTTTTATGTCAATCTTGTCTTAATGTGTCTGTGTTAACTGATAAGGTTGTATCGACTTACCTGGATGTTTCTGTGTGAACTGTATACATATGGTTGTGTCTGTGTTAATTGTGTGACTTGCTTCGCTGTGTCACTATTTACTGTACAGACTTGCCTGGTTGTGTCAGTGTTAACTGTGCACTTGCCTGGTTGTGTCAGTGTTAACTGTGCACTTGCCTGGTTGTGTCAGTGTTAACTGTGCACTTGCCTGGTTGTGTCAGTGTTAACTATGTGGACCTCCCACTATTTGTCACTGAAAACTATGAGAACTTTCTTGGTTGTGTCAGGTCAATTGTGTTGACTTGGTAATGCCACTGTTAGACTAATTATCATACTTATATACTTTGAATGTTGTTTGAAAGTACGTTACCGAGTAGCAGTGCCTAAACATAAGCGTTCTTTATCTAAAAGAAAATACTGATAAAAACAGAAAATAAGTGAAGATAAGAGGGAAAGAAAGTTAAGATTGTTACATATACTAGTAGAAATAATTTCTACTTTTATAATTAATGAATGCCACTCTCTGTTACGTAAAAAACAAACTATGCGACAGTTATATGCGGTAGGGTAACCATGGAAATATATCAACGTTACCAAGGAAACTCAACGTTACCAAGTATCCTATTTCTTTCTGTGGTTTTCCCTAGTGAAATGGAATAATGTTCACTGTTATTTTGCTTTGATTTTTTTAAATAAAGGTTGAAGTTAAATATATTCAATTATAGAGAGAAATATATTTAATTTTTTGTTGATTTATCAATAGACTTGGATCGTATCCATAAATTTTAGTTATCACGAGCCAAACTAATTAGCATTTCCTTCGCCTAACGACATCCACATCATATTCTAAAACATTAAAGTTACTAACAACGATCCCTAGATCCTTAAACAGACCAGACAAGTATTTACATAGCTCTGTTTGAGTTTTATCTAAGATATTTACTTTTCTTCTTTAAGCCGTTTAGAGTTGTTCAGATAAATGCATACTAAATACAGTGATATTTTAATCAGCGCCATTGTTGAAATTTGTTTATTTTCTGATAACATACTAATTTTGGAATTCTAGTGTTCTCTTCCGATGATCTTCAATTTTGTCATGTCAAATTGAACACATTAGAGACAAATTAAAGTATCAAACTAACAGGGCTACACATTTCCAGCTAATTAATAAATATCTATTAAAATATCTAAGAAACAAAACACGAGTCAAAAGAAAGAAATATACATACACATGTACATGTATATACGTAACCTAATACATCAAAATATGCAAATGACCTCTCACCTTATAACCTTTTTCGTTGACTGGTTCTCTTACTTCGTTAACTTTCCCCTTCCCACCTTTATTTCCCTGCTAAAAGGAATAAGTTAATTTTATTTTTTTACTATCGAAATTTGACAGAAAAAAAGTACATAGCATAAGTTATTGGGAACAGTATGATGCATGAATAAATAAGAATGAACCTCTATTTCGATCTAAAAGATTCATAAAATTGAATCAATCAAACTATGGCATATGTAAGTGTTTGAAAAAAAAAATATAAGAGAATAAGTATTGATTTTTATGTCAAAATTTTTGGCATTAAGAATACAAATGATTTTCGAAGCATTTTTACTGTAACTCTGGTAACTTCAAAACATTACGAGAATAACATTCGTAATATTTAACCATACTGAAGTTAATTGCCCCACTTCAAACTCGAGGCTTTTTCATTAGAAGGAGTAATATTAAAAGTCATTTTTCATTATTTTTGTAGACACGTGGCTAATCCTGATTCAAGATAGATAAGAAAAATACATGAAAAATGTTAAAGCCTTCCATAATTCATATTGAAGAGTTTTGCTTCAAGATTTCAAAGAAATTTTTCTTCGTTGATCGATAAGAATTCGTAAAATATTTCAAAAGTTATTTCAATATAATTAAACAAATAACATACCGTTACAGAAAGCAATTTCTTGAACATACAGATTTTATTTCTAGTTACGTAAATAAATAAATGAGGGTGATCCACCTGACAACGTCACTAAAGCGTTTACTCTTGTATTATATTTTAAAAATTTTTACTACATCTGACAGATCGACCTGCATGATTTATAGTCTGTAATAGGGGAAGACTTTCAATTGGAGACAGAATTTAAATTGATTACACGGGAAAATATATATATATACTCAGTAAACAGAATTTATTAACAAGAGAAATACAGAGTATTTATATATTTTGGAGGGGTTAAATATGCAAAGAAGTGAGTGGTACACATAACGAGCAAGAGTAAAGTTCCATTCCTGAGGTACAAACATAAAATGATCCATACAGTGCGCTTTTTCCCAGATGGAAAAAGAAGAAGGAAAAAAATGATATTGACAGTCTGATTAATATAGATTGTAACAAGGGAAAGTCCTGATATCTAGTTGATACCTCATCTAATTTGGTCACGGTTTGAGGTTTCCGCTTTGTGGAAGTGACGTCATCAGTTTCCACTATAGTATTGAACTCTTTTTGCTGAAAACACACCCATAAAATTCCATGGTAATTGATACTAATTACTCCAGATAGCTATTATACACCGGTAATGACCCACAGGCTATTCACAACAATCCTCGGCTTGAGATATACATATTACTAAGTATTACAACCAAACATTTATGTTATATATGAGGTGATTTTTTTTTAAGTTACAGATTTTAGTACGATTTTCCTGGGGGGGGGGGGGGGGGTCTTGTTTGAAAACTTCGGATCCATATTTCAAAGAATCATTTAGCTTAGAAACTCTGAGTTTCATATACATGTATGCGTAAATGGAAAAGAAAGCATTCAAATCCACCACTCATAAACAAGGCATGAATAAATAGATTGAAATGACTTACTAGTAAACTCAAAATACATGCATAGTTTCATTATGTAAAAATAATTTTTTAATGAATACCAAAAAAAAAAAAAAAAAAAAAAATGCACAGAAATTGTAACAAATACCATAACATAAGACCTCCATGCATTACTAGTATTTTACATTTACCCTCGAGTTGGTGTGAGTAATGGTTTAAAATGTTGGAGCTGAAGATGCATGTACATGTATAAGAGATAACATGATCAGAGATGAAAAGGTGTTAATTTCTTTCAATTAATGATATTTAAACAACCTAAAAATCTTTTATAAATTGGATTAGACAGTGTATTATTATTTGAAAGATCACAGAGAAAAAAAATAATAACATTCAAATTTTAGTGTAAAAAAATTTCATTATGGCAATACTTTATTCATACATAAGTAAATTTGACGTAATTATGTATATGTGGGTTCGAAGGAGTTAACTTTTTTAAAAACTGTTCTCTTTAAAATTTATAATACTTGTAGTTATGAAACGTTTGCAATGGTTTCACTTTCTCTGGATACAGGGATAAAAAAGAGTATAAACTGCCGTTTTTGATTCGGATCAAAAGATTTGTCGCCTATGAAAATTTCAATACACTGGTTATTCCCAAATTGAGTACCTTCAAATCGATCACCGGTCTTTATTCCAGCTATTTAGTCTATTTATGATGTATATTTCTGCGATCAAGCGAAAAATCAATAAAATAGAGACCCATAAAATGCAAATAAAGCACCGAATTATCGTAAAAATGACAGAATACTTCTATTAATGACTTGATAAAAATTCTGCGTCAAAGCTTTAAGGCATGTCAAAATATCATATATGTTGGATTATGGGATGATGATAATTCAATCAAATTTCTTCGTGAATACATCTATTGGGGAAAAAAATGAAAGAAAAAAATCGGTATTTTTTTCCCTCAGTAATTGGTCACAAGGTGCAGTTTCCCTTAATGATTTTTTTTTTGAGAAACCGTTTTCGATGTACAGTTTCCCCTTACCTGTTGGTTCTTGACAGTCCCTTTTCTGCCACCCACAGCCTTTCCTCCTTGGGCCTTTCCTTTACCTTGGGCCTGCGTGTTGACGTCATCTTTGGAACCACCGCAGCCCATCTTGGACAATGATTTCCACCAGAGTTATGCCATCTTTTTTAACTTATTTTTAATGTTTCGACTTACTGCTGTTGGTGTTAAGATAGATTCGCCGTTTCTAAACACATAAAAACAACATCATACATTGCTATTCAGAATTTCATTTTAAATCATAATCATTTCGTTTATATAAGCCCAATTCAACTTAATTTGTTGAATGCTAATGTTTCCTTTAATTCAATGTGTTAAAAGCAAATGCACACATACTCGATACACTGTGCGATAAACTTTTCCAATTGAGAATGAAAACATTAAACGTTTCCAGTTTTTGATGAGAAAAAACATAGATGTAAAATCAATACCGTAGAAATTAGTGTAAAATAAAGTTTTAATAGGACGATTCCAATGTTTTGATGTGCCTTTTTGTCGATAACGGATTTATCGCTAACTTTCTATCGCGGACTATTTACAGAATGTTTATTACAAATAGATTATATTTGCCTTCTAAAAATCTCTGTATGACACTGAAAAGAGCGCGTCTTAATTATACATCTACTGTGAGATTGAATGGACAGGGATATTCAATACTTTTAAGCCCAGGAATGGTCGACAGAATGTTTACCAAGGCTTCAAATGGTAAACATTTGGGCATCAACTGGCTTTAGAGGTTAATTCACCGATACAGTCAAACACTTAAGGGGTGCTTAAATCAGTGGGCAGTGGGGAAAAAATCCATAATGAAACTTTTTATTAAGCAATTTTTCATCTTCTTTCTCATCAATTAAAAAAATGTCCCTGTAGTTTAGTTCTGTAGAGTGTAAAGATACCCTACTGTCCCTGTATTCACATCTCGTGATATTAATCCTGAGCAGGATAACAAATAAAGAAAAACATAAAAGAGATTCCAGGAGAAAAACTTAATAAAGGAAACTAACATGCTTTTGAAACAATTCCTGAGCTAAGAGCACAGTAGGGGAGATATGTACTTCGATTTTCAATCAATTTTTGGAATGCGCCATGTTTAAAAGGGACACATGTCCACAGGACCGAAAGGGGTGTGGTTTTTCATGTTCTTAATAACTTAATATATTCATCTCTTGAGTGAAGTGGACAGGCAAAGTAACATCCACGGCTATGTCCGTCCACTTCTCTAGAGAGAATAATGCATAGGGATATCCTTTTTTTTTTTGCATTGTAAACCTATCAAGTAGGTAGTGTTTATTTTGATTTATAACCTCCTTGTGTTTATTAATAACTGGCATTTTAAATCAGTTTATTTAATGTCACTAATCCCTCTAAGGGTGCAGATAATTTTTATATGGTGCTATAAAAAGTAGCACGCCCTTTTAAATCAATTTATTTCATAGACCTTTGCTCGAAGCAGACTGAATGTATAGCATACATATGTATCTTAGAAAAGTAAGAAAAAAGATCCCATAGAAACTAGATTGAATTTTACATGCATGTGTATACTAAAAAATAAAATGATTTCCCAAAACATTTTGACTGATTCTTAATCTTTGTCATTTTTTAACGTATTTCCAGATTTAGAGTACCTCCACTGGAAATATTAAGTTGGTACCAAATATGTACATCTAGATTATTTACCTTTCAATTGATCTACCTTGAAAATTTAGATTAAACTGAAATTATTAACGACCCACTTCAATCTTTTTAAGTATAAATATGAAGCATTGTTTTTAGTATGTATGGTAATAATTAACCTTTTCCAATAAATTTACTTTTTTAAAAGATTTTTTATAGTATGCATGGTAATAATTATCCTTTTTTGTATATACTTACCTTTTTTTAAAGCTAATGAATCTCAAAAATCTATTTCGCATCCTTCATTTTCGAGATAAGTGAAACATCCAACAGAAATACTGTTAAAATCTCAGTTCCGCCTCACAAGGGTAAAGTTTGTTTTCCTCTATCACTCTCCTTCACAACGGAATTGTATACAAGGGAAAACACAGATTGAATGAGATTTCCGATTCGTGTTAAACGACGTTTGACATAAACCTTCAGAAATTCATTGAAATGAGAAGCCCCTTTTAACAAAGACGTACCCCTTTTGAATTTTTGTCAATCCCAAACTGCACATTGTCTGTCTTTTTGTATTGCTTTCAATTACAACCCCCAAAATGTTTGTTTGAGGTCTGAAATGGTTTCAATATATTTCCCTCACCTCACCAGAAACAGAATATTTACCAAAAGCGCGATAACGAATCGTTCCGTGTAAGGTTGAGATACGGCGAATAGAAAAAGCCGTGTTCAATATAAATCTTACATCGATGAAAAATTTTGTAAGGCGTGTTTAAAAGCCTGCATTCAGTGTGACATAAAGCGATGTATATGTGAAATAACTACCGAAAATTTAATAGAGAAAGTCTTTGTTATTACACAAGCACTCGTTTCTCTGAAAATAATTGAACTAAAATTTAATCATAGAACGTGCTTCAACAATATAAAACAACAAATCCGGATATAAGTTTTTTAAATTTCCGTTGAACAATACACTTTGAGATGGAAGTATATTAAAATGAACAAAAAAATCGAATTTGAAAACAGGCGTAATTATTTTTAAATTGATATAGACGAACAAACCAATTCTGCCAATGCATATGACACACCGTATACTAGTATACGGAATGTTGAATTCCATAATCTTGTCATATTGCTGCTTACTAGTTTTTGTATTGAGATACGCAAAGTTTAGAGACGTACCGAGCAATGATATCACCATGCCCGCTTGTCTATATGTCTGTCTGTCTGCCTATCCTCTCCGCTTCGTGTGATTACCACAACTATGTAATCAAGCACATGCATGGTACAAAAATTGCAGATGACAAGAGGATGTGTCAGTACTCTAAACTAATTTTCTTTACAAGGGCAAGGTCACAGACTTTAGAGTTGTATAACTTCGAGATTTAACTTGTAAAGAACGTAAGAACTTTATAAGTACTCTGCACAAACGGTTGACGTTCAAGATGAAGATTATGATCCGAGGTCACTGGGTCAATGTGGCAAGGTCAATTTCATAGGTTTCCAAAGTGTGTAATTTTTGACAAGGTCATAGTACAGGAAGAGTAGTGTAGAAGCTCGCACTCGAGAACAATCAGTTGCTCCTGACGATAGGGTGACCGGTGTGCCATGAGAATGAACATATTCATATTTTCTTTTCACGAAATTGAAAACCCATCGCTCAAATAAAAATTCAAATCTTTTCACGTGCATTTTTAATATCTTTATTAAACTTAATGAAAAAATAAATAAGTCTTCTTTTCTTCTACCGGTAGATATCTTTAGTACGAAGAAATGGAAATTCAAAGAATTCTTTGTACTAAAAATTTATTTATCAATATGATCACATTTGCTACATATCTGCTAACTGAGTGCACGTTTTGTACACAACTTCGATTTTAAGGTAGTATGATCCACAGGTTCTGAAAATCAGAACTTAAGTAATTGAAAATGCTCGCAAAAATGTCCCCGAATTCACGAAGTAAAGTGTATGATATATCTTCAAAGTTACTTTATTAAATACTCGATTACATTGTAAATAAAATGGTCATTATTTTACTTCCGTATTTTGTATATTTTTGTACATGAAAAAATGCTATATTGCAGAGTAGAGTAAGTCTATTTATGTATGTATTACTGTGCTGTGTGATAAGGTCACGTAATGACCTATGACTTTCGAAAAACTTCATACAGGTACATGCATGAAGATATATATATATATATATATATATATATATATATATATATATATATATATATATATATATATATATATATATATATATATATATATCAGGCCCGTTGGAAGCTATTTCAGTTGGGGGGGGGGGGGGCGGGGGGCACAGCCATACATTTTCAGCTGAGGGAGCACTATCAACCACTAAAATTCCCTTGACAAATAAAACAAAAGGTTCCTACGGCTATGAATATATATATATATATATATATATATATATATATATATATATATATATATATATATATATATATATATATATATATATATATATATATATATATATATATATATATATTTACACGCTATGGAGAAAAAAATCATTATACAAAACTGAAGAGACATAACTTACGATTTGAAGTAATATAAATGTCATCATTCCTCAGTTATCTTTCTTGTTATAAATCTAATAATCTAAGACATTTAAAAATTTACGGTATGTCATGGAAAAAATTAAAAAGATTTCACTGGAAAGTAAAAAAAAAATCAAATTTTAAATGAAGCAGAGCATAATAAATAAGAGAGTGTTATTTTGATTTTTAAAAAATACGCTTTTTCAACACATGTACGCAGCAGCGATCTTTTTTTTTTCTTGCTTCCATCCATCTTTTATTAAAAAAAAACCTTCTATGCCATTTTCTCCAAAATCATAATCTAATTATTCATACATAAAATAGGTAACGGCTTTATTGGATATTTTAATAGAAGTAATAAATATGAATACATATAATTGTACATGTATTTAAAAAAACAATGTGCATCACCTCTTATGAATTTTAAACAAAACCTTCTATGCCATTTTCTCCAAAATCATCATCTAATTATTCATACATAAAATAGGTAACGGCTTTATTGGATATTTTAATAGAAGTAATAAATATGAATACATATAATTGTACATGTATTTAAAAAAACAATGTGCATCACCTCTTATGAATTTTAAACAAAAGAAAACGTTTTATTATGGCAAATGAGATCCTCATCTCCATATTATGCTACTAGGGTCATGTTTCTAACTTTCGAAAACCCTTTATAGAAACATGATCATCTAATTCAATAGTGTCAGCATTAGCACATTTTTCTACTTTGTAAGGACCAACTTTTGACTTGATTTGCGCTGATTTATGTATTGAATGGTCCTTTTTACATATAAGCACAATAACCGACAATATTACTAATGCTATGATAGGTACATGTATGCAAACGCCAAGAACAATGGCTGTAGTCTCTCTTCCCGCTAATTTCGCTTCGTTTGTTGAAGCAGGAAGTGAAGATGTTGTTGAACTGGTTGTATGTGAACCAGTCAAAGTTTTCATTCCCGGGATATCAGACGTTGACGATGATGTATGTTGCGTGGTGTGTTTTCCTAATGTGCTCCTTTCGGACTTCCCCGTTGTAATCGACGACATGGATGACTGGAAAGTAAATGTTGAGACATCCGTTATAAGTGTTGATAGAATTACAGATGTAGAACCTGTTGATGGTGGCGATGAAGTTGATGAATTTGATTTTTGTGATGTTGGCTTTGCCATGTTGGATGTGACTGACGGTGAACGTGATGATATCCTTGTCATGGTGACAGATGTGTTACTTGTAGGTTTCGTTGTCAAGAGAGTAGTTGTTTGTTTGCTAGATAACGATGAATTTGTCATTGATGGAATGTATGTTTGAAGTGATGATGGAGATGAGGATTTTGATGAAATGAAGACAGCCTCCTTTTCTGTTGTTGCCACACTTGATGACAAAGTAGATGATTTAGAAGTCTGAATTGATGAAAGCCATGGTTGATGTGATGACGATTTCGTTGTTCTTTGAGAATTTGTTACCAATGATGATAGTTCTGAAGGGTTAATTGTTGTATCTGGTTTGTAAGATGAAGATGTATGACCTTTTGTTGTTAGTTTAGTAGTCATTGTAGATGTCCGAGTGGAATATTGAGACGACACATCCAAGTTCGATGACGTCGATGAGAGAGTTGATGAACTTTGTGTTTTCTTCGATGTAGATGATATACCAACCTGTGTTGTTGAGACTGTTGTTGATGGTTTTGGTGACGTTGTCTTTGCTGTTGGAGTCGTAGTAAGCACACCTTTTGAAAATATTGAATATTTGTGATATAAAGTGACATGCTGTATTGAGGTTTAAATTCGCAAGAGTTTATTTTTTCTTTGGTGGGCAATCGCATGTGTTGATATCCAACAAATATCAAACATGTGTTTGATGTTGTAAATGATCATACTTGAAAAATATTTACTGCTAAGCAAATTCTCGACTTTACTGAAGACGCGAAAATTTAACGATATTAAAAAAATGAAAATAATTATTTTGATTCAATGATTTAATGTATTTACATTCTCCATTTTGAATTGTGACGTCATCAACGCCTATTACGGAACCATAGTATCTCGAATCTGCGTAAGAACCCTCCATAATAATCTGCGAAATATTCATACATCATCATGATTAAAAAAGTATATCAAAATGTAACCATTAAAGACCATCTATTGAGTTTATCAAAGGATAAAACCATCAATTACTCTTCATTAACAAATTTGTCGACATATTCTATTCACTGAAAGAACTTTTCATCTATATTTCCTCTCTGAAAGAGTATAAACCTGAAAGTAGGGAGATCCCTTCAGGGTAAACATCAAAAGCTTCCAGCCAGGCGGATCTATATATGAAGCTTCATGTAACAAGACAAGTTCCATTGAGGGAAGCAATTTCTGGTAGACGGATAGCGTTCCACTTGTAGCTGTTGCTAAATACAGGTAAAAGCTCAAACAGGCAGCGCCAGTGTTTTCAAAAACAGGGGAGATGATTTGTGCCGCGTCACCATTTTCGCCCAAGTTCCAGTTATTTAAAATTAAGTATTTACCTATATATCAAGTAAAAATTGTTTATTTTTCTAACATTACTATATAAAATATATTTGAATGTTTACCTTTCATTCTAAAACATTATGCAAATTACTCACCTTTTCCAGAAATGTCGCCAGATACTAGTGTTCTGCCTTTATATAAAACAGATCCAGAAGTTATATTCCAGCCAACAGTATTTCCTAGAGAGGGTATAAGCTTCAAGTCACACCGCCCGGATTCAAAATCAAAGTCGCAATGAAACGGAAGTTCCATGGCAGGCGGTAATGTTGACGGAGGAGGATTTGTTGTGGTCTGGATTGGTGCTAACAAAGAAGCAAAAATCAATTTTAGGTCGAGACATTTTAAAAAAAATCTAAGTTTTGGTCGACAAAAGTTTTACTTAATAAGAATAATCGCTGTTTATATTGTCTACTCTGAATTCAATGTGTCAAACAAGTCTAATGCACACATTTTTTTTCAAACCTTACAATCCATCCACGAGAGCAATGATACTGCACTTTATATATACCAGTCCATATAAAAAATCAGACAAAAGGTGATACACGAAGGCTCTCAGAATTCAATGATTTTCCACACATAGATTTCTCTTGCACTATGATCCATACCCATTTTGTCTGATTTTTATATGGACTGGTACTTAAATACTCACTGATTTCTATGTCATCAACAGCCAAGTCACTTCCATAAAATAAACGCGCAGATGCCTCAAAACTTAGCTACAAAGAATAAAGATTAATTTTATCCAAATCTTTGAAAAAATAAATGAATTCGAGAAGAATTCAAGATATTTATTAAGAATGTCGGTACTAAAAATATCATTACCACAAAACTTCCTCGAGGTAAACTAATTGTTGCTTGATTCCATCCTCGGTTTTGCCTTCCTTCTTTTCTCCAAAGTTCTGTCTTTGACCCATCACCCTCCATTTTATTTAAAGTTAATATACCAATACCAACTCCATTCATAAAATACCAGAAGGATACTTGCAGATCTTTAGAAAAAAATCCATTTAGTTGCTTGAATTTTTTTTTTTTTTAGAATTTCTTTTTTTTCAATTGTTAGTGAAAGAATTCATTTTATTTACCGGAAGTTACGTCAATGTTCGCCTCTACGACAGCTTTGATTGATTTGTTCCTGTGGGCTTCTATTCCCTTGATAAAGATGTAACTGCCATTCCTGACTGCAAGGTAGATCTTGTGTTTCAAAATGTAAAATAACTCAACTTCTGAATAAAACTTAACAATGATTTCTTTTCAAGTATGCAAATTATGATAAAATGGAAGAATTTTGACTAAATCAATCTTTCATTCTGGAAACAGTTATTGTCAACATTAATGCAGACAATTGCTTCAGATGTTTTTTTTTTCCTTAAATCTATGAACTTTTGCGTTTTCTTTTTAAATTTTCATCTGCAAACTTTAAGATTGCTTTTTTTTTTTAAAATGGAAAATGCACATTGGTCATTTCATGCTATATACAGGGTAGGCGTCTACAAAATTCTGATTTACATTTTGTTGTGTGGTCCCCGACTGGCCCGGAAGATCTATCTGGCGTTGACCCGTTCCCGAGATGCCATTGGAAACCTTGTGCGCTGTTCTGAGGTCGCCATTGACACCAGCCATCATCAAATGTGCATGATGGGGGTAATACTGAAATTTTAACGACATGCAAGATATGCATAATTTGTTTCATATTGTCTTTGCAAACTTAAGTAACTTTGCAGTACTTTTGACGTCAGCGTCCTGTGGCCCAGATAAGTTTCTGTTGGTTACTTATCTGATAAAGTTGATAACTGTTATACAACTGCAGTAACTTTTATCAATTAAAGTAATCCAAATCGATGCGATGACCCGAAACAAACAGTAGATATTTATATAGTACAAGGTCAATTACCTTACAAGTGGATGAAAGAAAGTTGCAGAACATACTAATTTTTATTATTTATTTTTCTAAAATAGATAATTTTTTCCCTTTTTTTGTTACACCAGTATTACGTACATGTATGTAGGCATGTTTGTTTACTCTCGGCTATCGTTGGGCAAGTGGCTTAATTTCTTTCTTTTTTTTTAAGTGATCGGATTTTTCTTCACCTAGACGCTGTGAAAATTGTTCTAACTAAAACAACTACTCACAATGCACTTGAAATACATGATTTGGTCATTCATTCATTGATGCCCTTGGCATAAATAAAAATCTTCATCCTAAGAGATATAGTACACTGTTGAGCCACTAAAACCTTTAAAAGCAGTTCCACATTGTACAACCTTGACATCTGATTTGCAATAAGATGATGCATTATGGTTCGACAGTTCAAAAAAAGTTCAGTGATGATACATTAATGCACTTCAATGTGAACATGATAAAATGCCCTTGTACCGTACAAGAACTTTACGTCACTTAAGATGCCCTTTATCATTAAAGTCACTTCTAACTTGGAGTACTTATTTACAATCAATATGATAAACTAACGCGTAAATCAAAGGTGTGGCTCTTTATGCTTTGCAGAAAAATAGTACAAAATTATATTATTTATTTTTTAAAATCTACGTTTATGACACTTTAAGTTGTCTTGAAATACAAGATTCAGTCGTTCGTTGATTGATATCCTTGATATAAAAAAAAATCTTGATTGACTGGTAAACTACTACATGTATGATCATGTATATGTATTCGTATTCTGAATAGATTGAATAAATTGTTATATAGTGGATAATGATCTATCAGAATAATTATTTCAATAATTTTTGTAAAATTTCTTAAATTTCAAGTAACGTCCACATTCACTTTCAAAAGACATTTTCAACAAGATCAAAAACAGAATTTGAAATGATTTTGGTACATGGACGGAAATTGAGAACACAAGTTTTAAGACCTGGCTAGTTTGATTTTTGTGTAATTTGATAACCCTTTCTTCCTTCTTTAACTGTTTTCTCATTAACGCTTGAATATTGCATGCACCATGTATCCACTCAACATTATGGGAATATGTTTATTGACTTCTAAGTGAAAGTTCCAGTACGTCTAAAAACCATGTTTTTAAGGACTTTTGATTTCACAAGATGTCCTTTATCATCATATAAATTCACCTTTTTAATGAATAATGATTAAAAAATCGTTTAATCAGTAGCAGGTGTACGACAAGGGTAACCCTTATCACATCAACTATTGACTATATGTAAAATTAATCAATGGAAAATAAACTAAGGAAAGTGGAGTTCCAACCACTTTCAACCGAAAACATTTATTTTATGAAGCGGGCATGTTTTTACTTTTGCATGCTGAACAAATATTTCAAGGCAGAGTGTGATAACTTGTCATTCTAGAACAGTTTAGTGCCAATGGGGCTTACGTACAATATACATTTTACATTAAATTGCCATTATTGAAAATATTATTCATTAACCCAAGTGACAATTGATAAATAAAAAAGAGGAAAATCCCTAACAAAATTTGCACTGCTAGAACGCTTTATACACTATTCAAACCAGTACATTGTACTTATACCCACAAAAATATTTATCTAATAGAGCATATCATTTTTTTTTTAAGATAACCTATTGGAAATATTTTATCATTATACATTTTTGTCAAGTTCTTGCATGTTTTCATCTTCACTGACCAAGGGGTTTCGATCCGAAGATGATATGTTTTTGTACGAGGTGAATTTGTATTTACTATACGTTAGGCTGATCAAATTGGCACTGGTCAAAGGTCAGCCCATTGATAAAATTTTACAACTAAATCGTACGATTCACTAAGTCGAGCTTATCACTTTGAATCGTGCCATGAATGGGCATCGCAAATCTTCATTTATGAAATAAATGGATGTGAAAGAAAATTAATTATGCAAAACGATAAATGACAAGATTAATTCTTGCTGTATAGGAACTTTGATATATCAGATCTTTAATCTTTCATTTTTAATCTTAAAATTTTTTTGAAGCATTGAAAACGGAAGAATCTATCAACTCAAGAGGAATTTACTTTTAAACGTACATATATTTTTGGTTATATCATCTGAAAATTCAAAGATCACATAAGGATATGATAATTAAGAAATATTCTTCTAAAAGAGAATGGAATCTAATCGAAGTTTTAATGTTAAATGAGGTAATGAATTCATAATTTTTAAAAGAGAGCATTTTCCTCCCAAAAAATAAATCCCAAATAATAAGCTGTTTAGACTTACCTGCAGATACAGTGTGGTCAAGAACAAAGATTACTACCAGGAATAATGTACTTCCAAATGACCACATCCCTGCTAGATTTGTACAGCCCCTGCTGTTCTCAATAGGAGTCAGTTTTAATGAGTTATCACATCAATATTTGAGTATTTGTTTAATGAGATAACAACAAGTGATCTGGTCCTTAAAAAAATGACGCGTAAGGGGCGGCTGTACCAACAGATTACGCGGTATCCCCCTCCTATCGCCGCCACGTCCCCATGACTGAAGTCGGGGAGACCAAAGTGCCAAGTTCCCAAGCTTATCTGGCCGTTCTCGGTTTGAATGGAGGAGTGTCTTTAAATTTGAAGGGATAGTGAAGCGGGGCTTATAGTAAACCAGCCTTGACCAGATGAAATAATAATTTTAATGACTTTGATAATTTATTAGGGTAGGAAAAAAGTGAGAAAATGGATGACATGACATGGAGGAAGGAAAGGAGGGATATAACGCTTTTTGAACCCTATTTAAAAATTTTCAAAATATATTAAATCTTTAATATTGTAAAGTATTGGAGGCAAAAATACGTGGTACTTTCAAATTAACGAAAAAATGGGTGGATTATGTGGGGTCGGCCCCTCACAGTCCAATCTTCTCCCTCAGTAAAACAAGCATTCTGAGAGTATTGCATTAGCAATACTAGTCCCCTACCGGCAATTGTAATCTGGTTCCCGTTAAGAATTGAAAATGCCATAATTCTGTCAAAAATGAATGAAGCGGGACGAAATGCAAACTTGATCTGTAACTCATCAAGATACACTCATATACCAAAAGTCAGCTCAATATCTGCAGGCGTTTAGGAAAAAAGTGCGGAAAACCAAGTGGGACAGACAGACAGACAGACAGACGGACGGACAGACTCAGAGGAAACCTATAGTCCCCTCCGGTTTCACCGGTAGGGGACTAATAAAGCATTATTCTATTCTCACCCTCTAATTATAATTATATCATGGATCATGAAAATGTCTTATTTTGTGTGATTCCACTTCAAATATATTTTTGAGGATTCAAAGCCTTTTCAATTTGCTAAACCATCGGGCTTCACTTTGTATTTTTTTTTAAAGATAGAGAATGCAAATACGTGTATTATAACAAAGCAAAACCATTAACAACGTAAAACTTATTTGGTTTCATGATGTGATCAAGCAATTGGCTTGCGCAATAATTTGCATAAACGCCGAAGGCGTTTATGCATAAAATTATCACGCAAGCCAATTGCTTGTTCATCATCATAAAACCAAAAAATCTGACAGTTAATTTCTGATATTTACATGCTCTTAATTCCGTAAATTCAAGTGCTACAAGCCCCGCCTATTTCTCTTTTCTTTCTCCCGCCCCGCACGTGATTTTATTTTAATCACACTTATCGATGAACCAGTAGCTTTTTGTGGAAATCAAGTATGTTTACAATTTGTATTTTTACATCGGACAAAGAAATTTTGAAAATGTAATGCAGAAAAGTAGTCCAAATGCCGCAGTGTTCGTGGACTTCAGAGGAGTCATTTCTTAGTACAGATAAATCGGTTTATGCATACCCTCAATATTGAAGCTAAGCACTGTAGCACCACAGCAGTGCCAAAACAACTGCGAGATTCAGTTGATCATCATATTGCATCATAAAGTTGTAGATATATTATAAACTACTAGTATATAAACCTAGTAATCTTTATTTCTTCACAATTTTTGGTATTTGTGAGGAATAGGGTATTGCTAAAAAAAAAAAACTGATTTGATTTCTTATCGCTATATATTTACTAGTTACTAGTCGTACTTAGCTTGAAATATTACATTAAGGGTTCATTAAAAAAGTAAGGACGGATATCTTGCTATGAAATTAAAATCGCATTGACAAATTTCTTCTATATTCTACATATAAAATGTATATGTAAGTACATGTAATTTGTTGAAGCGTAGTTGAACGTGAGGACTTATACCTGCTTTAGTAAGCTTACTTTCATTTAGCATGTAGATCTTAGATGTTATTGGCTAAAAAATGTAACTTGCACTTCATGAACATTTGTAATCTGTATTTTGTGCAGCACTGTCCTTTCGACATGTAAACTGCGTTATTACATAAACTTATCGTGATGAAGATTTGTACTGATAAATGAAATGCATAAAAAAATACAACACCTTGTCAAAATACAAAACAAACAAATAGTGTAGGAATATGATGGGTAGGGACAAATTAAAAAAAAACTGTATATATTTAGGAAAACTTATCAAGCTTACATGTATAGAAAAGATCACGTCGTTATAAATATAGCATGGACCTATAGGACCGGAATTGGTTTTAGTCTTTACAAAGAGCTTATACATCCATGTATACATGTACGTACTAATTTGTTTCTCATACATCATTTTACATCTAATCAATACACGTAGTATGGATAAGAGGAACCTTTTCATGCCAATCAACTATGTAGCTTGGTATATAGTCGACGCATTTTGAGTTTTTTATTTTATAATCTCGAAATATTATTTTATGTTTTTCTTTACTTTTCATTGTAATTATGTCTGTAATCTTAGGGAGGAATGATACACACAAAAAAATTATTTAATGGATAAATATTTCTTTTAAAATATGTTCCAGTATTGAAAGACCAATATTAAATCTTAATTATTTTAAGCAACATTTTTTATAACTTTTTATCTAGAGAAAATTTACAAATATATATATATATATATATATATATATATATATATATATATATATATATATATATATATATATATATATATATATATATAATTTGCAAAAGATGTTTAAGAGTAAATATTTGCTCTTACTAAATGAATATTGTAAAAAAAAATCTAATAAAACAAGTCCAGAAAAGTCAGTCATTTCAATTTTTAAAATAAAATTATTTATGAAAATAAACACATTATTTAATAATATCTTTAACCCTATTCCAAAAATATCCTTTGAGATTGAACCTGATTCCTTCTCCGTAAAAATGAATGAAAGTCAGTAAGTGAACGTAAAAGTATGTCGATTTCTTTATCTATCTGGGCTGTAAACATGTTTATCGATATTATGTCAACGTGATCGCTGGCAAAAAGCAAGCTGTTTTCGTTAAACTGATAAAAATTATAAATGTCGGTTTACTTGGTAATTTATCTTTTAACTGAATACTGAGATATCGTTTTTATATTGTTTTAACTTATCATCTGGTCAGTTTAAGGTGAAAGAAATGCAAGTTTGTTTGAAAACAAGACCAATGTTTCAAATGGAGTTACTGCCCTTTGCCGCTAGAATGGCTTTGCTGTTTAAATTGACGTTGTGGGATCTGGGTTTGTGAGTTTACTAGTATTCTGATGTGTATACTTCTAAATCTAATTCTCAAGATCTATAATTTATCTTACTACTTTTTTAACTTTACAAAGAATGTGTCTGTCGTCAATCATGTAAGTGAAAGCATTCTCAAAAACAAACAAACAAACAAACAAAAACAAAAAATAAAATAAAATAAAAAAAATAAACAAGCAAATTATAAAATAAACGAATGATAAAAATAAAATTAAAAAAAAGAGAGAAAATGTAACATAATGACATTTTTTTATTAACAATCTATAGTCAGATTAAACCTCTGTCAAACTTCTAATCGTTTGATAACTTCTCGAGATTTACTTGGATTGATGACTAGATTATCAGAAAATATCAGATTGCCATACACGTTGGTTGCTTTGGTATTGTGGTTTATGATGTCCGATTCCGATGCAGAAAAACTGCTTTCAGAACTCTCAGAAGATTGTGCAGCATTAGATAAAGTGAAAGACACCCAGGTATTCAAGTCCTGATCAAGCTCTGTATCGCCATCACTAGAAAGAGTAGAATTTCCGGTTTCCATGACCCAATCATTGACGTCAGGGTCACATGACTGATGAAGAGATTCGAATAAGTTTTCAAGTTCTGTTTCCATTTCACGTTCATACGAACCTGTGTAGGAAGGTGGTTCTGGCGCATCGTTATAAAAAACCTCACTGTTAAAATCAACAGTCGATGTATCAAAAGTGTCCAATGAGAAACTTGTCTGTGTCGTTGCTTCCACCATTTCATTCTGAGCATTCTCAAAAACTGAAATTGACCTTTTAATGGAGGTTATTTCTTTATAGGTACCGCTTGAACTTGATGCAGAGCTTTGTCTATCAATGGTAGAGTATGAACTTTTAAATTCTGGAATGGTTTTAATTTTAGCAGAATCTTTTAATTGCGCAGTGCAACTCGTAGTTCTTACTTTTGATACTTGTCTAGCATCGAAATTAGGAATGTCACAGACAAAACTTGTAGCGTTACGGTCGTCCCAAAATTCCTCCTTCGGATTTACTATGGATGAAAGCGTAAATGAGGATACTGGAAACGACAGAGATCTTCCCCACTTTGGTCGCTGATATGACGAGGTAATTTGAAGATACGACAAGTCGAGATCGGGAGATTCGTCCACAGTTCGGACATTGTCCAGAAGTTTCTGCAAAGCGTCTTCACGACGTGGACATTCAGCATCACTAGGATGGTTACAGCGTGTTGCAGACTTCCGGTCGATTCTCGCCTGAATCTCCGTGGTAACCGTGTCGATGTCGTGAATGAGACATTGAAGATCTTTGACCATGGAATCAAGGCTATGCTGAAAGTCCTCCATGTTTTGTATGACGTGTCTCACCATTTCTCTTACATAGGTGTCGGATTGACCGCTCATGCTAATCTATTCAACAATATTGGGCTGATAACCTTACATGTCGTGGATCAATCTAAAACAATACAGAAATAAACATGACTTTACCACTATGATAAGTTCGTTTAAAAAAGGAAGAAATATTCCCAAACTTGAATACATTATAAAGCTGCTCTGCAATACAGGTAATCATATAAAACCGCTGTAGTCAGATGTAGTGTCACTTTAGAGATCAAAGGAACAGTGTACGTAAAATTGTTGTGCAACTGTTCCAACAGGCTACAAAATGTCCCTCAGTATGGAAACAGGATCACAGACTGAGAATTTCGATCGGCATATATTTTTTGCATTCAACCCTTTTTTTTAATGAAAATGTCCGTCAGTTAATCAAAACTTAACAAATGTATAAATGCATCCGTCTAAATGTTAAAAAAGTTGCCATCGTATAGTTTCATAGCTTTAGAAATTTTCTAATCGATGCAAACTCTCTAGGTTCATTTTCTGATTTGTTTGGAGTCTCGTCAAAATTATTTTGGCGCGCAAGATGTCCTAAAGCAAAACATCATTTTGTATCAAGAGCTGTACTCTCGGAAAATACACATGTATGTATATAATTGTGCAGAAATTGAAATTCTTTAGTCTTGCTATGTTAAAGCTTTAAAATAACGGGCAACTGCAAAGTAATAATCAATATCAAAAGCATCAGAAGAAAAATTATTCATTGTTAGGACACTAGCTGTGGGTTGATTTACAAGGTACCCCCTCCCTTTTTAAAGTTTTTTTTTATCTGCAACTCCTCTTATACCTTAATGAGACTCTCACGGAATCTTCATTACGTAGTCCCATTGTGCACTTCCTATTATTTGGGATTTACCATAGGAAAACATGGACACCGCCATTCTTTCTATAACATTTGGGGGTACCCATCTTTTATCTACAACTCCTCTTATACCACTGAATAAAATTTAATTAGACTTTCACAGATAATTCTTTATTACAAAGTGCCATTATGCACCTTCTATTTTATGTTCTGATCGGAAAGATACTTGGGGTTTCCATAACAAAACACGGACAATGCCATTCTTTCTATGATATTGAGTGTATCCATCTTTTATACGGAACTCCTCCTATATCACTGAATAAATTTTAATGACACTTTTACAGAATCTTTATTACATTGTGTCATTGTGCACCTCCTATTTTATGTTCTGGTCGGATGGATATTTAGGGTCTAAAATAGCAAAAATTGAAAATTCCCATCCTTCTATATAATATACGGATATCCATCTCTTATCCAGAACTCCTCTTATAGCACAAAATATATAGCACAAAATGAAGTTTAACGAGTCTTTCACAGAATCTTTTAATTTATGTTCTGATCGAACAATCATTTGGCGTTTCCAATGGCAAAAATGGGCTTTGCCATTATACTCACGCTGGGGGTGGGGTGGGGGGTATCATTTTGTGAGCCCAGTGCTCACAGTACCTCTAGTTTATGTTTTGAAATATCATCCATGTAGATTCAATTGCTCTATTTCGGAACTTCATTTTAGTCACCACTGATCCCATATTCGTCTTTTCGGCGCCAAAACAATACATTGAAAATTATTCCAAGATATTTTGACAAATCGCAGGGCCTGGGAAGTTTGAATGAAATAATGGTGCGCAGCGCCACGCGGCGCGCCCCGCAAAATGCGGGTATGCATATTTAATTACTTTGTAAGTTCATCGCAGTCCGCACTATCTGTATTCTTCATCGAAGTTAGATGGAATCTGTAATGTATTATATAATAAAATCGGAACCATCATCCGGCATATTGACATCCACTGGCAAAGAAACAGTTTTTTTTTTAATGTTGTTCGATTCGTAAGTGTCAAGTCGTTTTCGATGGTTGACCACAGCTTTACGAAAGTCACGCACATGGAAAATTTATATACTTACAATGAAAAACCTTTTCAACTAAGTCCACTTATTTTAGCCTGTCCCGTGATCTCTAAATCGGCATCGTTAAAAAATGGTGCTTTTGGTTTAAATATATTTTTTTCGAAATACTAGTTGGTTAGAATCTAGATGACGATTGACTGAAGTTCTTAGAAACGGAAAAATCATTTGCACTAGTCAATGTCATATGACTTGTCAATTCCTATCGCATTTTTCTTTTTAATTTTCCTAAATTTTGTTGTCAGAGATATATGCATTATGCTATAGCATCGTACTATGATTTATTTTAGAATGGCCCCAATATATTTCCCCACGGCCCCTTAAATTTCAAAATGTCCCCAACATTTTATGAACAGTGGGGCCATTGGCCCCACCTGTTGCTTGACCTTCCCAGGCACTGAAATCGTATAACTAAATACATGTAACAGTGAAGGTTACGATGTTATATTATCCTAGTTGGTAATTCTCAATCGATGGAAGAAATGATTTATGGGTGAAATGTGCTAACCTAATTAAGAAACCTACAGGGCCGCAACTTATGCCGTGGCGATATGAACTCGATATGTACCAAAAATTACATAAGATGTGCACTTCATGTATAAGATCACTCTCGCTCGAAAGAGAAATCAATACGTGTTTGGTTTTATGGAATTGCTGTGGGTAATGATGAGATTGTTGGCTTCTTTGAATTTTCTGCTTCAAACAGTATAGACAGTTTTGCATATCATGCATATTTTGGTATCTCCTTGAAATAATTCAATTTAGTTATCTCTGAAAGTTTATAATGACCCAATTATTTACTTTGATCTTGAATTTAAAGATATTTTATGGTAGTCCATTCACCAAGTTTTGAAAATCGTCAGTATTTTAGTTCTCTATTAACTTCAGTTGTTATTTGAAAAATACATAGTGTAATAAGCATGTGACATAATTGCAAGATATCACAGATCACTTCCAATTTCATTTCATGCTAATAAGCATTGATATCTAAGGCAAGAATTAAGAAAATTCGATTTCCATAAAAATGTATTTTTATTGTACCTAATGAGGGTAAAAATGTTTACTTTTAACAGACCGTTTTTGAGACCCCAAAGAACTTTGAATCATATAAAGATGCACGAATCTAATGCTATATTGTTTTTACAATGTCTGTTTGTTTGAGTGCTAATTTTTTGCTCATGAATGGGGTATTGAATCTTCAATTTTGGTTAAAATAGATATCGTGTCGAAAAAAAAAGAAAATCTAAAATGAAATCAAATTGTATTACAATAAAAAAAACCCCCAATATATTATCACTTACGTGAACAACCATCTTTATGGGGACTTTCAGTTAATTAAGAAATATCATGGCAAGATATAATAGATGGAATATACATGTATTGTCTGATAAGAACGCTGTGCTTTGTATTAGCTGAGGAAAATCAATGAGTCTTGTTGTACTCCAGAACTTGGAAGTAGCCTTGTAGTCAAGACACGATCTTGTTTGTCTAATTAATTTTGCACCTCTCTCTCTCTCTCTCTCTCTGAAACAAAATCATTGTTAAAGGATTTTTAAGATGAATCTCTTATGAAGACGTCAAGCTGTTCATCTAAAATTTCAGCGCTTATACACATAAAATTTTATAATATAGCAGTAAATAATACACAAAAAATTACAATTGGTAATTCTACACCAAACATAGACACCCTACTCCCAGACTTCAAAGCATATCGGATATACATCAAATTTACAATCCTTGGATTAAATATACCGTGAATATAACAGAGGAGATAGGTTTAAAGATTGGAACAAGATATTTGATACATGCAAGGACAACGACACCCTTCATAAGTACCATTTAAATAAATCTCCGCTGGGGTGTTACTTTCAGAACCTCTGAAAAATCCCACGAACGGTTAAAAAGATCCACTGTTTTTTTTATCATTGGTGCATAAAGGTCATTTTTCATGCTAACAGTTCGTTATGATAAAATTTTTCGTTAGTATCAAAGGAAACTTGGATGCGACAACTGTTCCGATCTGTGAAAAAAAAATTGAAGTATATTTAAAATCGAGCCACAAATTGTTGAATCCGCCACCTACCTTCAATGGTTATAGTTAGATCCCTTTCTGTCCTGTCCGGGGTGGAGTGGCGGTCGACCCTAGACCACAATTGTCTGCTATTTCCCCCTCCTCTGAAAATCTGCTTCCTGATTCCACAAAAATCAATGAAAAAGGCTGAAACATCATTTCTGTCTATCGTTTGGTCATATGTTATGTTCCATTGCAGTTATATATCGTCTGCCGAAAAATTAAGAAAATATATGAAATAATCGTCTGGCGGATCATATAAGATTTGATAAGTTGTGAAACTTGTGTAGAAAGGGTGATTATAAATTGTAATAATACATGTATTGTTATTAATCTGTCAATGAGTGTTAAATATATCGCTTCTTACAAATGTAATCCTAGATAAAAATAGTTCATTATCCATTTCGAATTTAGCATACATGATTAATCTTTAAAAAAAAAAAGATTATTTAAGTTAACTCCAATAGGATTTTTTTTTTTTTTTTTTTTTTTATACACATTTTCAACCTAAAACACCACAACTTTAATTTATTCTATTTAGATATTTTTATTCAACTTTTCCACCATAAAGATTTGATTTTCCTGCCCTGTAATGTCTTTCCTTTATACTGCATAATGGTTACGAAAAATAATTGCAATATTGCACGCAATGTTGTATTACATTGCATCTATTACTAGGCTTAAGCATATACTGCACATTAGGGACGTGTACGACATCTCCAAGTTATATTCATGGAAAAGGGAAGATTGGCTATATTGATTCAGACTTATTTCCTGGACTGTCTATTATAGATCGCTGACTCTACAAATAGCAAAATATCAAAAAATGACAAGAATTTGATAGGATTCGTCATGTAAAAATATTGCGATTTTTTTTTCATGCGGGACATTGCTCGATCGCGTTTTTTAATCACAGAAGCAATGTGAACACCTTACAATTGTATATATGACCTCCAGTTATTTTTTCCGCTATGAAAATAGCAATTTAACTGCATTTAGTCCGCTAGTCATGTGATTTTCTTCGTTTACAGGACTATACTGTGGGAGCTGATTACTAAGCAAACTCGCACAGGCTACATTTATATATAGATATATTCTAGTCAAACTTCAGTCTAGAAATTAGCCGACAATGTCCCATCCCTCCACCACAAAATAACCCTGGGGGCCTCTGAATACGTGTACATGTTTAAACTACATGTAGACTTCCCTGCACCTTTACGATATACATAAATAAACAATAATGTCCATTTAAACAGGGGATGATAGTCCCCCACCGGGGGGGGGGGGGTCTAGGAATTCATACAGGAGTGTTCTGAAGCGTTAATAACGAATGGGGTACTATAATCTAAATATATATATATATATATATATATATATATATTAAGATCCACTTGAATTTTTAACAGATTTATATTTACCTGTTCCTTATAAACTATGAAAGGATTGTCAATCCTAAATACTCAAACATTCCATGAGTCACATGGTTGACCAGAATGAAATAAACAACGTACAAGACAAAAGAAAAAAATGTGAATTTAAAGATATGTATCTCTAAAAATATAGAATTGATCATTTTAAAAATTATTCGGTATCAATAAATTCAGTTCAAACTCCGAGCTAAACTCACCCCCTTCCTTCCGTTTTCAGCCGATAGAACAGATGTCTTGTTTAAAAAACAATCACTGCAGTCCTGCTCGAGCGCACTCCTTGTATTCAACGGAGTGCAGCTAATTGGAATTTGAGGCATTACGTAACCGTGTCTACAACCCTGTGCCCAAGACATTTAAGTTATTATTTCAGTTTTAAATTGTATTATAACTGACAATTGTGAGTTACCCTTCTTTGTACGAAAGACGATTCGTCACTTTGATAAAGGCTGATTGAGTTGACGATGATTGTTGAGAATTTTTTTGTTCTATTGATCATCATTCAAAAAAGTAGATTAAAGAATAAGCACTGAGATGAACAAAGAAACACCAGACTTGTTCACCTCCTTCCCAGACAGAAAAATTTCCATGGTGATGTCTGGACAGGGGGTTCACATCTCTCTCTCTCTCTCTCTCTCTCTCTCTCTCTCTGATTAAGAACATTCCAAAACATACATGTCTTGGATGTCAAAAAAAAAAAGGTGTATGAAAGAGAAAGAAATGGGGCACTCAATCCCCACATCTTAATTCTTGTAAAGAATTTTACCGGAATAGAGGGAAAAAAATTACTACTATTTTCCAACAAACCTCAAAATCGAATGAAAACTGAATGATGCAAAAAAAAAAAAAAAAAAAAAAAAAAAACTGAGAATCTACGGGTCTATGTGCTTTTTTACGAAGTCAAAACATGGTAATCTTTAGAAAAATTGGAACCCTGGAGGTGAACAACCAATGCTTCGCAGGTAATTACCAAAATTATCTGCTACATGTATGAGGTGTCTTATTTCTGTGTTGCATAAAACTGATCCCCCTCCAGCTCACGGAAATTGATTTACCAGGTACAGTGTAGTGCAAAAAAGTACCTACTTTACACTATCAATTCAAAATGCATGGGAACTTTGCCTTTCTGACAGAGTAGCGTCATATTTTGACTATCTTTACGTGACAAATAGTCACAGGCCCGTAGGAAGCAATTTCAGTTGGGGGGGGGGGGGGCACAGCCATACATTTTCAGTTGGGGGGCACTATCAACTACCAAAAATACCTTGATGACAAGCAAAAAAAAAAAGTTCATCAGACGTTTTTATTGAGGGGGCACAAGATAATAGTAGCTATATTTTCTATAGTTATCTATATGTCGGCAAAATTATTGCCGCCCCCCCCCCCGGTTCCTACGGCCATGAGTAAATAACAGTTAATCAATAGCTTTTAAATTTTAATCATACTAATAGATAATAGAGCAAAAATAGAGAAAAAATATAATATATTTAAGCTTTCGAGACACATTGTTACAAAGCATTGACTTGTAAAGGAATTGTATCGAATATTCTCCACAGATACTTGTAGTTATCTCTCTTTCGATATAGAGCTGATGGAGAGAGGAACTACTATTTATAAAATAAAGTAACCAGAAAAGGACCGTAGAAGCTACCATCCTATCCCCCCAAGAAACACGGAATACACCCACCCCCTTAAGTTGGTAAGAGAAAAAGTCATAAAAGAAAGAAAGCGGTTTGTCCATGAGAAGTGTCCAACAATGTGCAACCCGATTCATATCTTCAGGTAAATCAGGATTTTTTTTTCACTGAAAGTGGGAGATATTTCATTTTGGTCTGTCCGTCCGTCTAGCTGTCATTCTGTCTGTGTGTAACACTTTCTTTTCTGGACGATATCCCAAAAAGCCTTTGAGCTTTTGCAATGAAATTTCAATCACAACTCCTTATGGCATGAAAAAGACATCTGTCAATATAGAAGTTCAAAGGTAAAGGTCAGAAATTCATATATTGCAACAAATGGTTTCAAGAAGATAATTTTCGTTTTCTCTGAGCCTTTTCAATGAGATTTTATATCATAACTATCGATATCTTAAAGAAAACCCCTAATGAATTAAAGGTCAAAGGTGAAGATCAGAAATTCATACTTCTATGTCTAACACTTGTTTCCGGACGATATCTCAAGAAGTCCGAGCTTTAGCAATTTTATATCACAATTCCCTATGGCCTAAAAGACCCCTATTGATCCTGAATTCAAAAGATCAAAGGTCAAGTCAGAAATTCATACATTGCAAATATGGTTTCCAGATGACAACTTAATTTTCTTTGAGCTTTTCAATGAAATTTTATAACTCCCTCTGACTAGGTCAAACGTTCAAAGGTCAAGGTCAGAAATTCATACATTGCAACGAAAAAAAAGTTTGCAGATGCTAACTTTAGTTGTCCTTGAGCTTCTTCAATGAAATCTTTTAACTCCAAATGACTTAAAGAAGAGCCTATTGATTTTTCGTTCAAAAAGCCAAGGTCCAAAATATAAATCTTGCATAAAATAGTTTCCTGGTGATAACTTCAGTTCTCGGAGATTTTGAAACGAATTTTTTTTTACTTTTCATCATTATGATTCATAGAAAATCCCTATTGATTTTGAGGTCAAAGAACAAGGTCAGAAATTCTATACTGTATACATAATTTTCAGATAACTTCAGTTCTCTGTAAGCTTTTGCAATGAAACGTAAGATAATGAATTTCTTTACAAGACCCTATTGACTTCAAGGCTAAAAGGTCAAGGTCGACTTTTTTCTTTCTCCATCTGCATCTTTTCCAGGTCTTCCGCCCTTTTCTTTTTTTTTCTTATAAAGTGAGAGACACAAATTCCCTGAATTATTATTTTTTTGCGATCATGTCAAACTCCTGTTGTCAGACAACATCTGTCATGTAAAACTCATGCACATCTATTTCATGTGATGTTTCCTCCACAGTATACTTCATTATATTTAATTACTGTATTTATATTCCATAATGGAACACTGGACAACAATGTAATGGAAATCAAAAGCTAATTTAAACCTACAGAGTTTTAATAGATTCTCTTTTATACTTCCAGTAAGTGAAGTCCATCAAATTCTTTGAAAACAGATTCTTTTCATTTATTCCTCATTGTTTGTATATCAGTTTTTTTTTCTTTTTGGAATTATCCCTATCTTTGGAATTTGTTTTCAATCTAGCACGTTCAAAGTGATTGATTCCATGAACTTATCACTACATACTTTATCATATGTCACAAGACAGATAAACCAAGGCCAATCTTCAGGAGGCATCCATAAATTTCCATCCAGTATGTTTGTCAGTAGATAAAACAAGGTAATACAGATAATATCAAACTTTATTATCATTTTTTTAAACTCACTTGAACAATTCTTGTAGACAATACCTATTTATAAAAAAAGTTTGGAAACTGTTAGATCAGATCAAGCCATGAAATCAGAAAAAAAAAACTCTACAAATGTTTGTCACAGAATCGTTAATAAAAAAGCACACACACCAGAGTGAGTTATTTTGATGTATCTGCTGAAGATAAGGATAATACTGTTGATAATCACATTTCTCCTGTAGGGGAATTTTGATCAGCAGTTGAAAAATTGAGATGATAAACATCACATAACAGTTAAATACACAAGTACTTAGAGATGAAGTTCACTATATTAACTACACAAATAAGAGGGGAAAAAATTATCACAACTTAGTTGATGGTTAATTAATGCTCAACCTTAGAGGCAGAGTAGCATTCATCTCTCATTAGTGAAGTATGAAATGTTCTATTGGTGCATGTTAATTATTTTTTTCAGATCATAACATGGTAATTTGGGTTTTGTTTTTTTTTTTTCATTTGAACAGGATACAACACTGATATTCTAAAATAAAATAATTTTTTTTTCAATAATGCATCATAGTTTTTCATCATTACATTTTATGAGTGTGGGGAAAACAAATTAAATGGTTGCATTCCACAAATGAATAACAATTTAAGGTATTCTTTATCACTGAGTATTTGGTGTAAAATAAAACAGCTAGTATGGACTGGTGATCCGGATTAAAAATGAATACTAAAATGCATCACATAAAATGAAAATCAACAAAAATAAATTTCAATACTGTAATATCACATGCATTTTTTTTTTCTATACCATGCGTAACAATGAAATACTACAAACTGACACACACACAAATTCACGTGGCTTTTGTTCAACACTCGCAATCACATTTGGCTCTAACATGGAGTAAAATCTGTACATAAATTAATGAAAACAATAAAACATAAAAACAAAATAAGAATTCATACTAAAGAATCTAGTAACAATCTCCTCTAAGAAGCACAATATCGATCACCGTGGGTAGGTAATATACAGGTCGACAGAGGAATGTATATAAACTCTCATTTATTACAAAAATAAAAACAACAAAGAATTTATCACAGTTTGTTTGTTTGTTTTTTTTTAACTTAAGGTTACGACTAACAGCATCTAATATTATAGCACTCTAGGATGTAACAATATCATCATCAAGTTTATAACATTTTGTATGGTAATACTTACAGGTGTCAAAATTAAAATGCCTTGTTAAAAAAAAATCACGTGAAGTCTTTAACAAGTATATAACTACCTCTATTTACAAGCAAGTTCTTCTTCACCTCTCTGTGAAATATTTAAGATGTATTCCTTAAAAAAAAATGCAAAAATGTCAATAAATTTTCACACTTGAGGATAATACATAATTATCATTTTCATAAATTAGTACATAAGTAGTAATTTGTTTTCTCTCTCAAACTTCTGATGAAGAATCCAACAACCATAACAATTAAAAACCAATAAGTCCTCGCTGAGATACACCTCCACAGTCCCTCTTGGTGGCCACTGCTTCAGTTATTTTTAGCTCGGTTTTTTGGCACTCACATTCACACAGTTATTACTGTTTTTCCACTTCAAACCTCCCAGTCCAAGATGTCGTATGCCTTCAGACTGGCCAAGACGATGTAGATCATCCACATAAAGAACAAAAGCAGGCTGGACCCCCACTTGATAATGCGGTTCTTGCCTCCAAGTTCTCCCCCAACAAACTGTAAAATCATCAGATAAATTAACGTATTCAATTTTGGCATTTTTAGCAAGGGTGTTGAGATCACTAAAATTGAATATCGCTAACAATTCATTGTGCATTGGAGGAAACTGATATGTGCCTAGGCATCATAAAATCGCTAAAATTACTTCTCGCTAAAATTATATACCAGTTTTTAGGAACAAATCGCTTAATTTGCCTCTCGCTAAAAATTCCACTTATACAGTAATAAATGAAATACAGGCAAACCAATATATCGTATACACAAGATTTTAAGTACAAATCCTTCTTCTAAACAATATGGCAAAGGAAAAATAATTTTGATTTTTTTTTTTTCAGCATAGTTCATTTGAACAACAAGTTATTCAGTCAAATAATTTGATCATGTATCAATTCCACAACAAACTGCTTTCTTACCTTCCTCCTTAAGACAAGTATAAGAATACAAAGAGCTCCTAATGTGGAAAAGATGATGACACTCTGAGTTAAGTTTCCAGTGGGAACTTTGTACTGGGTTCCAGTGGCGTAAGCATACATGGTACTCAGAACCCACGGCAGTCCCAGGCCAAGGAATACATTCACACTGTTACTACCTGCAAATAGACATTCATTATGGCAAAGTTATTTATGACAAAAGGTTATTCTGTTTGGTAATTACCGTAACAAAAACTTGCAAAAAAAAAAGGGGGACTGTACATGTGGAAATGGGGGTATTTACGCTAAATACGACATAAGAAAGCTTCTTGCATAAAAATTTCCGCACCAATGCTTTTATTCACTTTTGATTCAGTAATAACAATACATTATTCTGGTAATGTGTTATTAACAATATAATCCCCAAAAGTATGTTTTTTGCTACCAATTGGTGTAATTAAAAACTGCCTAAATATCAATGTTTAGAGTATACCCTTTCTCAGCTAGTTGATTTTAATTTATAACATTTAGAACTGCTGTACTAAATTCTTGTTTTCATTTGTATTGTGGATTTCTGAATCTTTTGTCATTTATGTTGTGCAGTGTACCTGTTACATTTCCAATGGCAGCATCAGCATGCTCATCTTGAATGGCTGCAGTCCGGCTGGCAAATGTATCCGGTAAACTGGTTCCCAAAGCTATGATTGTTATACCTGCTACGCTAGTCTTTAGACCCACTACACAACCAAGTAAATGCCCCAACTGCCAGAGAAAAAAATGTTGATGTAGTATTCAAATGTGTGAAATCTTACATAAAATCAAATCAAAGCAATTTCAATACATTTTCCCCCCACAATTTGTAATCTTTATATACCTTTTTGATTAACATACCTGTTCTATAACTAATGTGAGTAATGCAATGTATACCAGAGAAAATACAAATGCTGGCCAAGCACCTAACAATGTCCTACAAAAATACAAAAGACATGAAAGGACTACAGACTGTCTGCCATATTATTTATGTGCACTCTTCTCTCTTTCAATTCAGCATTAAAGAAGTGATTAACTTGATTTAATCTGCTCTTAATTAGATTTCTTGAGATAATGTAATTGTTTTACATAATAAACAGAACCAAAATATCGCACTGCTGTTAATAGAGCTTTATGACTTACGTTGGCGGCACCATAGCTCCTAAAATTTTCCAGAAGAAGGTGAGGAAGTGGAGTAAATAATCCATAAATGTTGGAGGAATGTCATTTCCATCGTCATCCTGACCCCCCTCTATAGACATGGCACTGGAAAACAGAAATTGTCAGATATTAAAGACTGATATCTGCTTCATGCATGAAACAGAAATTGTCAGAGATTAAAGACTGATATCTGTATCATGCACCAATCAAACTACACTGATCCTTATTAACTTTATTTGAATATTTTTGCCCTTATTTTCTTGGGTATTACTTAACACAAAATAGACACATAAATTTACTTGTGTGATATATGTATAAATTTTTGGTATATGTCCTGAATTCTTGAATTGCCTTGTGATATATGCTATCTCAACCATTGATATCTCCAGTACCACCAATACCATGGATATCTCGAAGTGAGTTTGGAAGTGCCAACTTTTTGTATTTCAACCTCAATATCTTGAGTCCTCAGTTTTATCCCATTTTTTCTTGGCGCATTTGAGTTTGAGATAACAAGGTTTGACTGTATATTAACTGACTTACTTTTTGAACTGCCCCGCCCATGTGACTGGTTCTTCCTCCTCCTCCTCCTTAATGACTTCTGCGATACGGTCCTCTATGGATTCTACAACAGCAAGCAATTCATCGTTAGCTTAATTACAATGAGAGTGTTACCTTAATATATTCAGGGTGCACATAGATCCACATCTCAACTTTTAATAATTGTGTTCTTTAATTTCTATTCAGTAGTTAAATATACTTACCTTTATTTATATGACAGACTACAGCACTTCTGTGACCTATTTTTGCACCCAGACTGGGATTTTTTAGAGCAATAACAAAGTTTTTAGATCCCTGAAGAAAAGAAATACAATTTACATATATATGAACAAAAAGGCACATGCATATGGAATTCATGGACATTTACTATGGCATCAGTTTAACACTTAAAATGTGTCATGCGTGGTCAATAAAATGGATTTTGAATGAAGCAGCATAAGAAATTTAAATGACTATAATGATAAGAATTCTTTGTAATAGTGTTAATTATTTGTCAGTTCTATCTGTATTGAGAACCAGCTTTATTCTCAAAGGAGAAAGTTTTTGAGAACATATTTATACATTAATAAGAAACATATGAAAGTCATTCATAGGACTCTCCATAAACTTGAACAGTCTGTATTATATTTATTATGTATTAATTTTTCAGTCCTTTTCCAGTAGAGCCAAAACATGAATGCAATTCCTATGAAGACAAGTAAATCTTAATCAATTTTAACAGAACTTGATTTGATTAAAATGTGAACACCAATAAAAGTATAAAAGTAAAGGGATCCAAAGAAACAAAGTCCATATCAAACAACTGTCTCTGTTTCCTATTTTCCACCTTTTTGAAGCACTGGTCCCATTTATCCCTCAATATATTTTAGGCATAACCTTCACTTGATTAATTATCATTGAATAAACTTACAGTAAGTAAAAGAAATATTGTAGAACAATATAATTAATTTACAAGTATGCCTAAATTATTATTATAAGTACACTAAAATAATTAAAATATTGTGGAACTACTAAATATTTAAATATATGTCTCATCAAATTTTGCAAAAATGCACTTCACTAAATTAGCAGATTTCCAAAAACACTTCGTCTTATCCTGCAAATATTGTCTTTAAATGCTGCTAGTTATTGGTTGGTCTTTTTGCAGTCAAAATTGTCAAAAACCGTACAAAAATATAAGTGCCAGTATCACTCAGATTACTTCTGTTAATACTGCAAACCACTTTTTATTTTCGCGCAATTACATGAGACCTCTGCTCACAAAAATTTCTTTTGTATCATTTAAGATTATATAAAAGATTTTATAAAAAAAATTTAACCAAAATTCGCAATTTATTTTTTGTCTCCTTATAAATAGCAAACAACTAGCTCTCTTGCAAAAATAAGGTGTCACGAAAATTTGGTGATCTACAGTAGTCTAGTGATAAATTGATTGGTATTAGCTTCAAAATGTTAAATCTCGGTTGAGGATTTCGGTGCTTAAATTGACATCAAAACCACCACTTACACGTGTGGTAGAGGGTAGTGTTATACAGTGGGATGACATGCTTGTAATCTAGCTGGCTTTCAAATTTACACCGTACGTGTGTTAAAGAGAAATATGGGACAGTGCACAAAAAGGGGACATTAAGGGGTAAATAATGTAAACTTTGAGAAACAATTAAAATTAACTTGCAAAAAAAATATAAGAAAATATTTACCATACTTGGTAGATACTAGAATGATTAAGTTGTACATAGCTAACACTGATATAAGAAGACTGGGTACATGCTGTTTGGCATAAATACATGTGGATATTTTGTGTAATATTTCTCATGCTACTTAACTTACTGAAATTTTGTACCACTAAAAATTAATATAACACATAAAATACTTCTTACAAACTAATATTCTAAATAATATAATCAAAACTTTACAGGAAGCAAAAACCCAATATACAAACATGTATACAGCAATACATCTGATACAACATTGCAAACATACATGTAGTCATAATATCATGAACACCATTACTCTTTAATCTATAGTGATACGACTGCGTACCTTGGCTTCTTTATTGATTTTGATTTCTATTGTTTTGCTGGTTTCTTGGTGTTTAAATTCTAGAGTGCCTGACACCTGAATATAGTCCACATCTTTGGAAAGACTTGTCCCGCCTACTGCTGTGCCATCACTACAAAAAATTGAATGCATGTACAAGAATTATATATACTGGTAGTACAAAATACTTCTATGGCAATTTGGCAAATAAAGTCTTTTCTAAATACGTAATCACTTTTTGTTGCTTGATATCTATACATATATAAAAATCATTTTTTAAAACTTTACAAAAATTTTATTGCTAAAATATGAACCTAAACATTTTTCAAGATCAGAAGTACCATTTCTACAAGACTATCAGGGGCATACAAATGAGATGATGAAATCTTACATGGTGGAGTATTCCATTGTGACTTTGCCATCTACTCCAAACTCTCTTTGTACAGTGACCTTTACTTTCCCAGAGGACAAATCCGCATAGACATGTGGACTCTCAAACTGAAATTCTCCAGGTTCTACAAAATTAGAAGTTTAAAATTACTTTAAATCAATGAATCAAAAAAAAAAAAAAAAATGAAATAAATCTTTTTATTAGCAAAAGAATTTAGATGAAATGGCATAATGTATACTATCCAAGATTAATTAAGGAAACTGTGCATTTATCACATACAATTCATAAGTTTAAACTTTATGGACTTAACCATAGCTGAATAAGATTTCCTTATCAAAACATAAAACACTAACCATCATCATCCACAATGGTGATCCTGGTCACACTGGGATCTCCTAGCGAAGTGCCATTTGTCGCATTTTTGAGAATCAAGTAAAAATCACAATCATTTTCAAACTGGTTGTCATTGATGATATCAATAGTGATGCTCTGTCTGTATTCTGTGTCCTTGAAAGTCTAAAATAAACAGACCTTGGTCATTAAGGAGCATAAAATCGTATCGGTTTATATTTGGGTTAATTATGTTCAAGACTGTAATGGCCATATATAGCCTCTACATATAGGAACAAATTTTGAACAAGTTAGCCTGGCTGCTACTTAGGGAAAGCTAGCATTACTGGAGTAGTGAACATGATAGCCAATATTTATGCTAGCTATAATTAAGACAAAAAAAAAAGCTGGAACTAATTAAAATTTTAATGGACTCACCATAACAAATCCTAGCAAAATCCTGAATTAATTGCAAAATTAAACTTATACTTGCACTTTAAACACTCTTAAAATTTCCAACTAGAATATGAAACACTTCTTAACATTTTCAAATAGAAAGTATTTCTTAAATGTTTGCTGTTCTCAATGGATACTAACCAAGACACCAGTCCTGTATTTGAAATCTTTGCCAGCTTTCCCAGAGCCTTCCCTCGTCTCATATTCAACAGTGACCGTCCCCTCAAAAACCTGCTCCATGTTGTTTTTGCTGGCAGGGTTGGCAGTGGCAGGGATTGATGTTGGTTGTGTAGAACCATTCTTGAAAGCAACAGTGTCTCCGTTCTGTCATAAATCAGTAAAAATACAGTAAAACTTTGTTATACAGAACTCGCTTTTTAAGGAAATCTCATTTATAAGAAAACTTTTACAAATTCTATAGAAAAATTTTCGCTAATGTTCCTTATACAGATATAAAGAATGTCAGTTATTAGCAATCAAAATCGGAGGTCCCAAGGACTTCCTTATAAGCAAGTTTTACTGTATAAAGAATATCAGTAATAAGAAAGCAGAATTTCAAGGTCCCAGTGATTTCTTTATAACCAAGTTTTATTGTATAAATGAGGATTTAGATGGAACTTTCTCACAATCGAAGCATTCTATACTTAATCAAATCCTTGCTTTCACTGGAAATCTTTTCATACATGCAGTACAGTCACTTATTAATGTTGACTTATTACTCACCATAATCTGTGCTTTCATGCCAGCTTTCCTGTATATTTAGAGAAATAAATAAGACTACATGATTGTAAAAGGACAGATTCCAGGAGAAATATAAATATATTTTATATATCAATATTTTTTCCCTCATTTAAATATCAAAAAAAAAAAAACAAAAACAAAAACTAAATAATCTTTTGGGTTTTTTTAATCAATGAATTCCAAAGAATTCTTAGCATCATCTACTTAAATCGTACACTGAAAACAACATGGGGCAACATAACAAAGTCAAGGACTTGCTAGGATTTTTACAAGTTTTCCTTCCTGTGTATAAAAATACAGATTGTCAAAATGTAAACATCATGGTACTCCAGTGTGTACAAGACCTCAATCCTCCCAGAAACCACAATTTCAGACTTCTACAATTATTTGCATAATGCACCTTTTATGTTTATTTCTTCACAGAGAAATTAAACAATGAAAAAGTTTAAGTTTTCATAAAGCAATTGACACTTTAACATGATTCAGGGATATGTTTTGTCTCCTTTTCAAACCACATGCTTCACACTACAAAGTACTGATGTTGGAATCAAGGATAATATTTACACAAAAAAAAAATTCTCCAGCAATGAACATTTTTTTTAACATGTAGGAATGGAAGAACATGTCCTTGAAGATAGAAAAGTTGAAATGTCATGTAAAAAGAAGCAAAAACTCTGTTTTACATAAGAGGAGGGTTAAGTACAATCACTTACGGCATGTTTCGATGAAAGAGAACATCAATGGTGAGCTTTCCAGCACTTTCAAGAACAGCATATCTGTCAGATGCAAATGTGAACTTTCCATACAAGTCACCTACAAAACCAACAGGGAATCTTAACTGTACTTTCTTTATTTGTAAAATCAGCAGGTTAGATGTTGACACATATTTGAAATTGAAAACATAATAAGGCACTTACATAACCATTTTGCTTTTCTAATTATACATTGGAAAATTTATTTCAAAAGTTCTCAGAACATTATTCATTAAATACTGCAAATTCTTTGCTTTGGACATGTAAAATATAAACGAAACTAAAAGCATATAATTATCTAATTTTTCAGATTTCATAAAATTTCAAAACGCATGCAGCTAAACTATACGGCAGCCCTCATATCCAGGGAAATGACAAAACCAGTGGGTTAATTTATGGGATGCACATGTTCTTGTAGTACAAAAATACATATACTTCTTATAGTGAATGCCTACTTATTGTGAAGCCACATTTTGTCCCAAAGCATTTTCCAATGAAAATTAACTGTTAAATGAGACTAACCTGCAGGCATTTTGCCCTCTTTGCTTGCCTGGTTGATGCTCTGAACTTGTTTGACCAATTCAGCGAACCTAGCAGACTTGTGACCACTACCAACTCTCTTTTTGGTACCAGTCATTGCACTGACCACCGCATGCCTGAATCTACAAAATTAGGTATGGGAAGAAAATCATTTCTCAAACTCTGACCCATCATAATTCTCTTTGTAACAATTATGTATTAGTAAAAGAGAATTTTGTTTTTATCAGATAGAGAGTGACTGTGCAAAAAATAAGTCTGCTTTACATTTTATATGTATAAAGGAGAGAGGAAGATTTTATACTGAAGACTATTCTGAATATCAAAATCTATACATCTACAGTTCTCTGTATACTACAATTAAAGAAATAAAAATTGCAAAGACTTCAAAGTAGATGGCACTGATCAAGCAGAACTCATTTCACCTAATTATTTCTAATTTGTCTAATTGATAAAAGCATCAAGAATCCAATTCATCAGTCATGCCATTTATTTAGAAAGAAGCACACTGTCTTGTGCAGATTCATGACAATTGTTAATGGTGTGACATTTTAACTGGAAAACATGGTGAATATTAGGACTATATTCATTGACAGACTGATTCCAATTATACTTTCCATGCCATGTTGTATGTCTCAGCTTAGAAAATGTCCTACCAATTAAAGAAGACCTCAGGCTGCATGTTCAGAGACAGAAATTAGCCTGGATAGATGAGTTTGAGACACATTGTTTCCTATCTTGGCACTTAAAAAGCTCATTAGTTTGCAATGATTAGAGACAAGACTGCAGGGCTATGGGTTTCCATTTTGTCATATTTATCAATATATTGGCATTTTCAAGATTTAAAAGATTTTTTTTTATTTAACTATTAATTCTATAATTACAATCTCCACTCTCTGCATAGCTTACCATTACTAAATTGCAATAAAGTTAACCAATTCAATGACACATTTATTAAATGACTAAATTTACCCCCACCCCCCCACCCCCCATCCCAATTGTCATATGTCATTCATAGCTAGCATTTATTACAAGGATGATCTTTGGAAATATATGTTCTCAATTAGCTAATTAAAAATGACTTTGCATATATATTGTATTATTATTTTTATTATTAGTACCTCTTATAATTCTAATATTTGACTTTCTTTTTTTATGATACATACAGTGTATGTTATTTACTTACAAATTCATGAAGCTATATAATTACCAACACAGTCTACAGTCAATTTTTTTCTCTTTCTAAATATTAAAAGCTACCCACTTTACATGATATTCCTGTTAAAATCTTATATATAACATAAATTATTAATTTTTATATAAAAAAATCTTAATGTGTGACAGTTTGACAATGAAACAAAATAATTAACATATATGAGATACAATGTCAATTAAATTGTGATATAATAATTCATCAGTTAAAAAATGATGGATCTGCATTCATTGTTTCATAACTCTGATCAATTACTAAATCTTATTTGGGAATGTAATTTTTTTATACATTGTAACTGTGGATGTACATTCATATATATGTGTGAATGAGTGAATATGTACAAGCATCAACATTGAAACTACAGTCTACTCCAGATATATTGAAATTCAGGGGTCCAACACTTCTTTTTTTAAAAAAAAAAAAAAAATTAAATTCAAAAGGAGCAAAATTGAAAAATGTGAAGAAACTGTTTTCAATCCTGATTACAATCTAAAAAGCACAAACAAACGTTACACCATTCATTACTTATTACATTTTCATTACAAAATTTGAAACACTTGCATAATGAAATAAAGACTGTCCATTAAAAATTTACAGTAAAACCTCATTATCTTGAATTTGATGGAACAGAGAAAAAAAAACTCTTGAGAAAACTTTGAGATTAGAGATATTGAGGTTCAAATACATGGTTGGGACTTAATTCCTGCAACACTTTGAAATATCCATGGTATTCAAGATATTGATGTTCTAGATACCTTTTGATCAATTTAAGTTTAACTGTATTTGAATAAGTCAGTAATCTTTGTTTATTTTTGTTGAATTTTGCACTATATTCAAAAATTTTTAAGACACTCAGCATGAAGAGCTTCTGTGAAATTACAAAGTCGCTAACCCTGACATTACAGCTAGTGTCCAGGCCAGCTAGCACTTCAAGATGGCTGTTATAAAAGAAACTTATTATCAGCTCATCAGACTGATAATTTCCTTCAAAATAAGTGATAATTTCATATAAGCGAGTTCAATTTAATCAGTTTAAAATGTACCTTATTGCAAAGCAAATGAGAAACTGAGACTGATGATGTAGTTTTATTTCTAAAATATTAGATATTTTCAATATAAGCGATTTCAATATAAGTGGAGTAGGCTTTAGTAGCAATGAATATGTAAAAGAAGTGACATGCCTTTATGATGAGACAATATTAAGTCCTTGCCGTTTCAAAGTATATTTGAATAATTCTGTGATTTTAACTAACTCTACATTTCAGTCCTCCTCTCAATACAGCAACTTTCCTGTATTTTTTGTGTTTATAAAGGCACTAGATATGATAGTTGTAGAATATATTATAGATAGAATACTGAGGCAGAGTTATTTCCCTTTTAAGCTTGTACAGCCTAAAATGATTTCTCATTAACTCCGTCAATAAAAAGACAACTGAGAAATAAAACAATCAAACTTCATCAAGAAAGATAAAAGTAAAAAAAAAATAAATAAATAACTGTGGAAAAGGACTACGGCTAGCCGATTTAAAACAGAAACATGCATGCAATCTGCTAGCTCAGTGAAACACTACAGAACTCTGCTAGCAGTAAATGCTACACGTCTGCTAGCAGTGTTTTAGCTATTGAGTTTTACATACCGAGCTCTGTTCATTATACTGGTGCTGATATTTTTATGATTTCTACACCATAAAACAACAAATCAGTTTAAAAAAAACACACAAAATCATAAGATGGCTAAGTATTTTTGCAAATCAAATGATTCAAAATTGGCGAGTTTCAAGTCCATGCACAGCCCTTAATTTGACAATCAAAACAATGGGTTTGCTACTATTCCTCTCTTTGCTTTAATCCTCAATATTAAGGAGTATACAATAACATTAAAGTTACAAAGCTCAAAACAGCAAAAAATGAAGGAATGAGTATTTATTAGCTCTGTACAGTTTGAGCAAATTATAATACCATATAAGCAGAATTTTTAGTGAGGATTTAATTTTAGATTATTAGCTAGGGTTCGCAGATTGCTAAAATTGAATATCGCCAATAATTTATTTCAATTATTATAGCTATCTCTCTAGACATTAAATCTCGCTAAAAATATATACATGTACTGTACTTTTTTTGTGTGGATAAATTGCTAAATTTGCATCTCGCTAAAATTTCCACTTATACAGTTATATTCGAAGTGTGCTCAATTGACTCGAAATATCAAACAAATACACCTTGAAACTATGTTGACATAATCATCTCCAAAATTAGATAGCTAGCCTTCAATGAGTTTATAAAAAATATAATTTTTTTAATGACTTTGTTTTAGGAAAATGACACCCCCCCCCCCAAAAAAAAAAGAAAAGAAAACCATGTCATTCAATTAATCTGAAGTGAAACTCTTCAATTCTAAGTCATGTAATTCGCAATCATACTGACTCTACACTATATATTATTTTGAATTTCATATTTAATTAACTTTCCTTTATTTTTTAAAAAAATAATTAAAATGAAACATTCCTGGTAAATTTAATTTTTAAACATAAATTTCTATAGATAGTAAAATCATGCAGGATCTTATGTCAAGAACAAAAGTTACTACAATTAGTACACTGTTGGAAATTTTTTAGGACTACATAAGATTTCTCATTTCCTATCTGATCAAGACCATGATCTTCAAACTTTGAAATGCAGCCAGAGAATATCATAAGATAAAATCCGCTGTAAATATATACTTATATACTCTAAAATATATAAATGCTGATAATCAATGAACTGTATTTAGAAATTGCGGGTTTAAAATGGAGGGTATATTTGTGATCCCAGAATAAACCAAGCATTATTCTGCGATTATCAAGCACTATAGCAGCAAATCCATGCTAAGTAGGTTATTCATAACAAATTAGTGTTAGCAGTGCAAAGTATATACAAGTTAGTATTAATCCCTTTAGACTTGAAATGGTGAATTTATTTTACAATTGAAAGCCGTGAATAAGGAGTGCACTCTATCTACACGAAATTCTTATCTGATATAACAAGAAATGAATAGCATATATATGTAACACAGATTAAAGATATAATCTCCTTGTCAGACACAGTAAAGGGCTGCTCTAAAGTGACTTGTCTTAATTACCTGTAAGAATTTCCTGAACTGTTACAGAAAACCTACTCATATTATATATATACAATTACATACAACTCCAAATCATCTATAATGCTTAATATTAGTATGGTGCGATAACTACTCCTTAGGTTTTCTCATCTATTAAATATTGTTTCCTTATTAATATACGATACTAATAATTTGGGGGGCAAAATGCCTTTAAAATTTATATGCTTGTATTTTGTTATTTCTATGGTAACATCATATATTATATCAGTATTTTATTTCTATGGTAAAAACAAATCTATACTTGCATTAATTAACATAGGCCTAAAGCACCAAATGTTTTCAGCATGTTCTACGAATGTACTACTGATATATTTCAATCTCAGCTAGCTCATAGTTATATAATCAATCTGACCATTTATGGAAAACAGCGATACCAGACAGCAACAAAATGGCATGCAATATACATGTACTTCTTATGCAGAAACATAGGATTTACAAGTCTGACATATATAGTACATTTGATACATATATATATTCACTGTTAAATGCACTATATTCCCACTCCAACTAAACATCAGGATGCCTTACCTTGCTCTTGCAAAGGTCTGCTGGGGTTCCTTGCTCCCCTTCTCCATCTTGACCAGCCTGTCCTCAGCATTAGATTGATCATGGTCTTTCTCGTGACTGAAAGTAGATACAAGCATAGAATATGAATTTTCTTTATTAATTCTTTATATATTACACAAGATCAGTCTTTCCTTTGCTGAAAACTTCCAAAAACTTCATAAGAGAGCTAGAAAAAATACCATGATTGAATGGATACAGTTTATGATAAAATATGGTCAATACATTATACTTAGGATACATGTATGTTATTTGATATCATTTAAACTTTTTCCAGATAATTCAATGAAATTCTGCAAAGACATTGACTTTTTGGTACTTAAGTGTTTGTACCAATAGTACAAGAAAAGACAAAAAAAGGAACTTGGAGAAATTTTTCTGTTTCAAGAATAATTCTCAAAATTGTCTTTCCAAAAGGCAAAGTAACCCTGATGTCAATGACTTTATTTTGACCAACAAGATCGGTATCCATGTTTGTGGCTACTATAAATATAAATTTCTAAATCCTTTAGAAGGGATTTCAATATCCCTCTGTATACCAATATCTGATGATATCAGGGGGTAATGTAATCATCCAACATTCAGGTCATTTGTATCTAAAAACAAAACCTTGCCAATTTCTCAAAGGGCACGGTGGGCTTCTTATGCTTCAGTAGGACTGTAGACAGCAGGATAATTACCTCTTGTAAACTATATCAATTAAATCGCAAGACAAAGACCCTGATGTCCCAAATATTACTGGAATTAATGGCTCATAATGAAGAGATGGGTGTTTGTTGCATTGAAGGCCAGGGTCGTTGTCTTGCTGGAAATGCAAAATCTGTCACTACTTTGGTCTTCAAACACGCTTTGTTGGTTATCTAAATTTTTAGCACGGTTTTTCAAGGCTTACAACATAGTCCACGTCACGAATGCATAGGTTTCAAAGGATGACATAGATTTAAATGAGATATTATACCAAACTAAATGATTTTCATGAGGTAATTGCTCTGGGGCACGTTTAATGTGACTGTACTTTAAAAAAAGCAAGACATTCTTGGGTGGTTTGCAATTAATATTTTCATTGATCTTTTAAACATTTTTACAAAGTCACCATACACATCTATAGAGAACAGAGCAAACATTAATATAGATTTCAATTGTTCCACTTTACCATTAATAGATATTTCTCTCATAGTATTATGTACATGCAGGATTACATTAAATTATTGGCCTTCATTGTTTAATCTAGTAAGTCTTATCATGCATGTTGTAATATCATTCAATACATGTACATGCATACTCATTATATATATATATATATATATACAGTACTACTGCAAAAGTTAAGAATATATTTGTTTGATATTTAGTTATGCATGCAATATTTATTAGTGCTATATATCAATCAGAAAAAACCAACAATTGCATGATAAATAAAAAAAAAATGATTGATTCTAACAACTTCAGTAAAAACTATATAGCATTTATCATCAAGATCTTGCAATAAATGTACTAAAACCCAAAAAATAATACCTTCTATAAGACAGGAAGAAATAAATCAATTCAGTACAATATAGCAAAAAATAAATTTACTCAGCTGTTAACCAGGAAGTAAAAAAGATTTTTTAGCAGTTTAATAGAAAAAGGGGAAGGGGGCCAGGAGATGAATTTGAAATTTAGGGACATTTTTCTCTTTCCTAAAATTGAACAGGGATTAGGTCCATTTCAGATTATCAACAAAATGATGATGGTTGAGGGAGTTAACAGTTAATATTTGGGGTTAAAAAGAATTGCTAGGTTCAGTTGATCTCATTAGTTTAAATAGATGTCATTTGGCAGTTTAAGGATTTTATCTAATCTAAACAAATATTTGTTAAATGAATTTAAAGGAGTGGTAAGAACATTCTTTAAACAGAAAAAAGTAACCAACCATACTCACACTAACAAAAAAAGTAAAACAAAAACAAAAGTAAAAAATACACAAGATGTGTTTGTGAAACACTGATGCCCCTGTATGATATAGTTCAAGGCCAAGGTTAAAGTATTTCAAAACTAGATAAAACTCCAAGGTCAAGAGTTCAAAAATGTTGGTATCCAAAGAAAGGTCTTGTCACATGGAATACACATGTAAAATATAAAAGCCCTTAGCACCAACCATTCAGAAAATATAGTCAAGGCTAAAGTTTTTCAAAAGTAGGACATGCTACAAGGTCAAGGTCATCAGGTCAAAAATATTGGTACTTAAGAGGACCTGTCACAAGAAATATATAAGTGAAATATTAAAGCCTTAGCACCAACTGTTCAAAAGTTATAGGCAAGTTAAATGTAGATGAATCTAAAAAGCCAGTCAGGAGATCAAAAATGAAGTAATCCCCCCCCCCCCCCCCAAAAAAAAGGTCTGTCACAGTAATACATTTGTGATATATGAAAGCCCTTGTCCCACTGTTCAAATGTTTCTTTTAAAAGTACATGTAGGTCAAACTCAAAGGTCAAGGTAAAAAATGTTGGTACCTAAGAGAGATCTTGTCACAAAGAATATACCTGTGATATACGAAAGCCCTAGCACCCACTGTTCAAAAGTAATAGCCAAGGTTAAAGTTTTCCAAAAGTAGGTCAAACTCATAGGTCAAGGTCAAAAATGTTGGTACCCAAAGAAAGGTCTGGTCTTATGAAATACACATGTGAAATATAAAAGCCTTAGCACCAACCATTAAAAAGTTATGGTCAAGGTTAGAGTTTGGTAAAATTTTGCAAAAGTTAGTCAAACTTCAAGGTCAAGAGGTCAAATATGTTGGTACCAAAAGAAAAGACTTGTCACAAGGAATACACATGTAACACAGGAAAGCTATAGCTTCAACCAAAATTTCAAAAGTTATGGGCAACGTCAAAGTTTTTTCTGACTAACAGACAAACAGACAGACAGATGGATAGATCAAAAACTATGCCTCTAAATCTTTTGATTACAAGGGCATAAAATGGAATGAAATAACATTATGAAAGGACGTAAAATTAATATATTTTGGTTCAATGTTCTCTAAAACAGTAAAACACAGGGTTTATCATTTGCGATAGGTGCAAACACACAAGCGTTGAATGCTTCTACATATATGGGTGATCAAGATCAGTGACAAACTGTAACCATGGCAAATCCATAGACTCAGACAAATTGGATTCCATTTTTCTAATAAACTAAACAGTTAATTATAAGATTTTTTTGTTTTATTCATAAAAGAGCCGGTGAGCAACCTCCAAAGCAAAAGCTGGTGTCTGCAACCCATCCTACTAGATCCCTACTGCAATATCAACAATGAAACTAAATGATCCGACCAATAAATAAACAAGTATTTCTCACACACACAAGAGTTACTGAATTATGCAGCAAGTGGCAAAGGAAAAGTATAGGGCTAATAAGTATAGCAGTGTCATAGATTATCAGGCTTTTGGCTAATTGGAACAGAGGCGGTTATGTTACCTGTCACTGTCTAAAGACACATTGATGTCTTTGGCCGATTTTGGACCGGGAGATAATGAAAGCCGACGGTCATTGCCATAAGGATGAAGATGATCATCTGATCTTGAAAAACAATGCATTATAATTTGTTACCATTAAAGTATCTAATTAAAAAACTGCATGCATGGAGATTATTGCTTACATTCTCCTATGGTGCACTGCAATTCAGTGCCGCATATTCCTAGAAAAAAATCGCATTTGTGAAAAAAAAAGTACACTGTCAAAAGATACAAAAACTTAATTATTGCAAAGTTCTGGAAATTAATTTAATTTTAAGTGATGATAAACAGATGCCTTGCCACAGAGTCTAGAAATAAAGAGGTGCTATACTTTATATATGATGTCAAAAATCAGACATTGGATATATGATCCAGACAAAGTGAAATCAGGAAACAATTTCCTCAAGTATATTAAAAAAAATACTACAGCATTAGCATATAAGCATTATCATACTTAATTCTTGCAAAATGTTATTAATGCATGATTAATAATAATGAAGAGATCTGTTTTTTCTCAAGCCTCACTTGAATAAATTACAAAATTCTCAAGAGTGTAACCATTGTGATCAATGGAAAGAAACTTAAAATTTTGAAATATTGAGTTTTAACATGTTCGAAACCTGGTCTAATAGTTTGAACAGCCTGCAAGAGTAAACATCATGAGGTTCTAGCTATTGACTGTAATCGCTGAAAAGTCAATATTTCCAAGGTATTCCTAAGAAACAATTAGCAAACATTATTAGAAAAATATTTTGCCAGTAAAACATTACAAAAGCCCTAATAGTTTGTAAAATTTACCAATGCCATAATAGTTAGCTTTCCTATTATGAATCTACATTGATTTCACACTTTTTAGTTTCTTGCATCATCATTTTTGCACAAAGGCCACCCCCTTTCCAATTTTGACTGATCTTGGACACAGCGTGAAGTGTCTTTTGTGCTAATCAGTGTCTTTGATTTGGTTTATATAAACTGTACATATAATGGAATATGGATTTTATAAAAAATGAATTACAGTAATATACACTTGTTATACAGAGAATAGACCAATAAAATCTCCGTTAACAATAGAAATATTCACTGTGTAAAATAACCATCTCCACTGTGCACTATAAATTGTTCAAGTAACGTGTTATCATTTTTTTTCTTAAATCTAAATCACTGGTTTAGTCACAGGTGTCTAAAAGTTCATGTAATGTATAACATGCATCATATATATATATATATATATATATATATACTATATAAACTTAAATTAAAGTTAGCATAGGGATATTCCAATTCCAAAATCAAAACCTTTGTCCAACAAAACATCACAAATATACCAAAATAATTTCCAATATTCAAGAACATCTTTGAAGTCAACTTGAAATAACACCCAAATGCATTAAACAATCAAACTTTTATCAAGCAATTTCAAAAGTATCTTTTGTATCAAATTTACGGCACTGATATTGCTGTATGTATTGCGGTAGTGCATAAAAATCATAAAAATGTTTAATATATATGCTGAAAGGATCCAAGATAAAGAAAATCCTACTATACATATCCTTAACATACACCATGCAACCACCAACAGGTCCCAGTGAGAGATTGCAGTGCAAAAACCCTACAAGATATGATAAAATGATACAAGAATATTCTCCATTTACTGTTGAGTCATATAGCAGTGACTTGGAGATGATATAAGAGTCAGATGAAGCTTAAGATATACCAGTCTCTGTAGAAATCAGGGGCATCTGTATAGAGACAGTTTATTGTAGTGCACTGCACTGTGTCCTGGATTTACAATTACTTCTATGTTTGTCAGGAGAACAATTGGACATTACTTACTCCCACCCCAACTTCATGATTGCTAATTATTGCACTGTAAGGAATTCATTGCTGCTCTCTCTCTCTCTTAAGCAGGGTTAATAAATGTAGGACCAGATTATGATTGACAAATAAGCAATAAGACTCGAAGTCTAAGTGAAGCATGATATCTGGTTTTAGTCCATTCTGGCACCAGTATTAAAAATGTATGATCAAAACTGAACTACAATTACCTAACACATATATAAATGTTCTACAAGAATATTTTAACAATCACTTCACAAAAATGAAAAAATGTAAGACTTTCTAAAGCACTGAAATAATATGCACAAAAAATAACTATAATAGAAATACGAGTCCAAATATTGGAAATCTGCATGGGACCTAAAAAAAAAGTATTTCGAAATAAATCTAAAGAGACACTAACGATCACCTTCTTTATAAAAAAAAGTTTCTAAGAAACATTCAATAGTGGGAATCTACATGAGTTTAAAAAAATAATGAAAAAAAGGTTTTTTAAATGTTAAGCATAAATCAATTTTAATTGTTTTCAATCCCCATGTAAAAATTTGGCCAAAAACATAGATAATATATAGGTAATGTGTAACATATATGCTAGGTCTTCAGCACACTTTCTTGACACTCTGTGCTCATGCAAAGAAATTGCTCTCTTGGTGAAAAAAATAAAACCAAAGGAATTTGAGCCAAGACACTTATACACGATGTAACAGTTTTTAAGTGATACACTGTGTGCAATTAAAATCTGTTAATGGGTTGCTGTTAAATAGACGCTACATTGGATTTGAAAATTAACAAAGTGCCAAATGAAGCCATCGCCTGGTACTTGACTTGAACTGCTACAGAGGAAGGTATTTCTGGCTTACCTTGGTTTTTTATCAAGAGATTGAAGGCTGAGCACACTGAAACAGAAATATTATATCACATCCAGCCCAACACAAGATCCTAATGCATCAAAATAAATAGCAGTTCTTTTTTTCATTTTTTTCTTCTTTATACATTTTTTGCAACAATTTGTATTATATGTGTTTTTGATGCAATTTTATACAAATGCAACATCTATTTCACTCAAAAGATGTGTTGTATTATATATATATATTGGCATTTTGCTAACATATCAAGAAAATAGGTGTGATCTGATAACACTACACAGAAGATAAGTCATTAATTGTGATGATGCTGTGATTCTTAATTCTTGTAAAAAAAAAAGAAAAAAAAATGTGTAAAAGCATAGCACACAATATAAAAATAATTTTTTCATCAATATGCAGTTGATGCAGCAGATAAATATAAAAACTTCAGCATCCTTCCTTGTTCAAAATCATTTTCATCTAAAAAGATGACAAGCATGCCACTTGCAACAGGAAATACAGTTGTGGAAACAATGAATTTAAGCTCTTTAGATCCATAGATCTCATCCTCACAACCCCTGCTATGAATCTTGAAAACTTTAAGATAACTAAAGTGTTATTGACCGCATCAATTTTGATTTTGTACTGATAATTTTTTTTTATGTAAGCATGAGAGAAAACAAATAAAATTTGATATCTATTGACAAATTATATAAAGATTTTCTATATACAATAAATGATTCTGTTTCTTATATACCATATGAATCAACATGTACATCGATCATCATGAAGTGTGCAGAGTGATGTTACTTAATCTAGAATTCAGAATTTATGAAGACCTTGGCAAAATAGTTCAGCATTTAGGTGGATTTTACCTTAGTTTCTGCTGCTTCTCCACCTCCAACATGTGGAGCTCTTTTCCTGCCGTGGCATGTCCAGCGAAGGACCCTCTTCGCTGTTGGTTGGTCATGATTCTTATGTGGTCCTACAATATGCCAGAAGCAATTCATGTAAAGCATCTGATTGACCATGATGAATAATAATTAATTGCTTTAATACTGAAAATGTCCTTGTACTAGTGTACAATCGAAATGAAGCATATTTTTTATTTTGCAATTCATATGAATTCATGCTTTAATTGGCACAAATTTGAATTGTATGTAGATCAATTGGGATTTATCTTATTTACAAGTATGTATTAATTAACACATATATAAGCAATAAACAACATTTAACTGTGCTAGAATTACTAGTAGATTACCTCTAAATTAGTCTCATATTTGAATCTTGTATTAGTTACTATTATCATGTTCAATTGACAGAAATGAACAAAATCTACCAGTTTTATGCATATTCTTGAAATAATATATTTTCATTGCATGGAAATTTTCTTTTAAAAAATAAATATTTCCATTCCTTGTAAATTACAAGAAATAACTTTTTGACACCTAGCTAATATAAACAAGTCAAATCATTAACACAGATCTTGAAGAACAACAGTCATGAGTATCAATGTTGGGGGAGGGGTTTTTTCAAGGGAACAAGTTACACCCTCACTTGTCAGCCAACCTAATAATCAAGCGAAGGTTCCTTGCAGGACTGTAAGCATTTTAAATCCAGTCCAAAAAATGGAACACATTGGATTATAAAAAGAGATTCTAAGCAAAATTCATGAAACACATCAAGAAAACATCCCTACTGGGTATTGTTCATCCCGAACACTTTAGAAATAGCTTATTTATTTATTTATATAATTATTTATTTATTCATTAATCTATTTATTTATTTTTTTGAAAATTAAATCCAATCTGAGAGAATGAAAGGGTCGCCAATGTTAAGAAAGCGATTGGAATAAAATGTATTTGTACAGTCATGTATAATAGTGTCATAATCAATGTACGGAAAAACGAATTTTAAAAGCTAAAAGGGATCTCTTTCAAATTCTACATCCATGTTAACAACTGCCACATTAATTACCCATAAATTTATGAAATTTTCCATGTAGTAATGTGTTAATAATTAACAGTCTGTATGTTGACATGATCAATTTGCCATCATAATCTTACTTAGAATCAATTATATTTAAACATCAACAATGACACACTAAAAATATATAACAATGAATGAATCAGATTTCCAAATAAGAAAAAAAAAATCTTTCTTTGGAGCATTTTTAAAACAACTGTTATGTGTACTGTATTGAAAATACAGGGTCTATAAAATTTAATCTTGTGTAACTATAGGGATTTCATTGCATTACGAGTACATCTTATTTTATTGAGAACTTGATAGGTACCCTCAAGGACTAATGATTTAATGGGTCTACCTTCTAGTGCATGAAATTCAATTTATTCATATCTAAAATCAATACAACAGTTTGAATTAATCCTGTTGTAAAATAAAGACTACACAAAAGCGTAATTGACCCCATCATATGCTTTTGTGTCTTATCGACACACATTACTACCCCTTCGGCAGGGTTAAATAATGATTTAAACTTTTAATAAAAAGAATCTACCTGATTTGCTAAGTTTCTTTCTGTATATATATATAACAATAATTGGTAAAGTATATATAACACATTTCATGAAGATTTACTATTCTGAAAATGAGATCGGAGTGCTCTACTGATTAGGCTAAAATTTCATTAAGTTGTTAATGCAAGTCCAGAAGAAATTCTTTATTAGATTAATGGGCAAAAGAAGGAAAAAAGCCATGATGCTGAAAATCTAATAATTCTTAATGGAAAATAGCACATTTCTAATTCATAACCTTGGTGGCCCTGCTCCATTTTCTTTATTTAGGAATTTTAGCTGAAAATCTACTTTGCTTCCACCACTTTGCATTGAAAACTTCCCTTTTAAAGGATGAACAGACGTATACAATTCACAAACATCTCAGACTTACCATTTGTTTGGGCTCCTGAGCATCTACCTCATTTGTTTTTTTACAACATTTATCCCTCCACCATCCATTATCAGTGGCATAGGCCAAGAAGACAAAGAGGGGCATATACAGGAGGGTAACCCAAGCCTCCCAGGGGTCAATTATTCCAGGTGTTATGTACTGAACAGCTAGAAGCAACCAAATATAAGCCCATAGTGACCAAAACGAAGTTAAAAGAAAGACTCCAAATTCTTTAATGTATTTTGGTTCATCCCCGTGTACACTGACAACACAAACAGATGTGATGATCAAAAGATTGAAAGCAGCACTTCCAATAATGGTAAATGTTCCTAAAGAGTCCTTCTCTGCATCATTTGTACCAAGAGAACCTATTGCCTCAAAGGTGGCCAGAAGAATTTCTGGAGCACTACTCCCTAATGCCATCAATGTCAGGTTAGCAACTGTCTCATTCCAAATGAACACTTCCACCTCTTTCATTTCATTTTTTTCTGGGTCCCATTGTTTCACAGTTCGTTTTTTGCTGGTCAAAACCTCAATACTGTTCATAAATATGTCTGAAGAAATGGCAACTCCTAGAAAAAAATAAGCCATGCAGATCACATAAAGAAGTCCTCTGAGCCATTCTGGCCAGAGATTTTCTGCTGGGACTAATATCCAACTCTTGCAATTCTCTGATGTATTGCTAGCCAGGTATTCCACAACGTATCCCCTGTCTCCATAATTCGTCCTCAATTCATAAACCATGATGGCTTTACTTAGGTAAATTTGCAGTTGGTCAGAAAAACAGAAAGCAATTTACCACTCTCCCTTGTACTATTAAAATCAATTACTGCTGTGTAGAGTTCCTTGTGAGTATTCCCATAAGAAAGGTGAAGGCAAACTACACAGAGGGAACAAAGATCACTGCTGAGCGAGCAAACATGTTACCTATATTATATATATGTGTTTGGAAAAAAGCTTTCAATACAGAAAATCTCTCCCAAAACCTGGAGTGTTTACTTCATCTTCCGATATATATCATCACTGTAAGAAATAAAATAAAACAATTCTCCCTGCTCTGCAGAATCCTGCGATAATTTCCATCAGCACTGGTAGATGCTCGCAAAAGCAGTGTTACATTGTATATATCTAGCTCTAGGATAGAATAGTCTTCAGCAATTAGATAATCTTATCAGATGTAAAGAGACTACGTAAGAGATCAAATAGATTTACTATGCAAAGGCATAGCACACTAAAGCTCAATCAGGCGTGATGAATCTATGATATTAAATTGAAGAATACCAATTTAACCTTTAAGTATTTCTTATCATTTTATAATACAAGAGCTTATGTCCCTGTATTGGAGTGAACAACTACTGCATTTAACATTGACAGATATAATCGAGTCATTTACACGAAAATTTAAATGGAAATAGAATATCCTTTTGTTAACAATCTAAAAAATCGCTGATTCTGTCGACCATACAATGGCACTCATCTCTTTATTCTTTTAAGTGGAACAGTTTAATCAACACATCATAGCTTAAAAACTTTAAAAAATGAGAGAGTTCATCATTTAATAATCCATAACTACCATTGTACAGTTAGAATTCAAGACCTTTGGCTGCCCTGCTATATTTCAAAGATTTTTTTTTCTTTATGTAAAATTTATTAATTACTAGATATATTTGCTACCTTCTTAAATTATAAAAAAAAAATGTCAAATTTTTCAAGTTTAATAAAGGTACATTTATAACAATTTCCTAATCTGAAGGTTAAATAAGCATGGACTGTGGTGAACCCTCTACGAAATAGTGGCACATATTTCATACAATCTTGAGGAAAATGCCAATTTAAGGACTTGCTGATTTACATACCACATGTTCTTGAGAATTTTCACCTCAATGTACCTATCAATCTGTCAGGTACGAGTAAGAATACAATTTTTGACACCTCGTCAACATCAAAAACAAGCATATCTGATCAATGAAAGTTAGGTTAGTGTCAGCATAATGTTTACAAACAAATTATTCACTACAGAGGTGGTCTAGTGGTAAAAAACTTTCAATCCATGGTTTTGATGTCTTGAAAAGACTATATATTAGAGATAACATTCTAAAACAAAACATATTGCCTTAATAATAAGCATGCTTTTATGCTACATACATGTAGCTACTTATATCAAAGCCCAATTTTGTTAACAAATAAGTATAAATAGTGCAAGTTTAATTAAATATCAAAATAATGGAAACATGTAGTATTGACCATTCTGTCCCAAGGTTGCTATTTTAACATAGCTGTAAAAGCAGTAGGGGGGAAAATGGAAGTATGTGAATTAATTATTAGATATGTGATAGATAAAGAGAATGCAAAATCTTTTGAAATAAACATCTTTTAAATATCAGCTGCAAGTAGATGGAATGCAGTTGGTCTCATGTTAAGAATAATTTGCACAGTATAGTGGGGTTTTTTTTATTGCATGGTAACAAAAATGAAAACATGTAAAATATCAACTGCCTCCCACCTCCCCCCAAAAAAGCTACTAATGATTACTAAATTTAGCAAATGATTTTTAAAATGATTACTTAATAAATATGAAAATCTAATGGTTTGTTTCATTTTTTCTTTGATATCAATTATCATAGAATTCTAATGTCATATCATAATAATTAAACCTTTAATTGATCCGACTCCAAAAATCCATAATGCAAATATCAAATCTACGTAGAAATAATAAAGATATCTTGCGTTGTATGACATTTTTTCTTACTTATTAAAGAAAGGAAAATATCCACACAATGTAAACTTTTTTTTAGGCTTTTTAATTCAATTTTATTGATTTTTATCAAGATCCTTAAAAATTGATTGATTAATTATCTATTAAATAGTGATAATCAATAATGACACTGAAGGAGATGATTCCAAACACCAAGTATACACTTTGAATATTTGGAACTATATGAAATTAGGTTTCAAACTATCAAAATCAGGTAATCTTCAAGTTAAGTTCATATGATTAATTCTTTGGGAAAACAGATAATAAATTTTTTAACAGTTGCATAAAGCATACCACAGTTATTGTTATCAAGTCTCTTGCGTCAAAACAACCTTTAATGCTGATCCCAAAACAAATGAATATTTTGCTGCTATCTGAGTTACTGTAAATCTGTTCATTTTCGCTAAAGCCTACATGAGACCAAGCAACACCAGCTGACAGTGAGGGTATAGTGCCCTGTTACAGAAGGGTTTTTAATTACTTCTAACAACAAGAGAGATTAACAAAATCCACTCTATCAAGAGCTTCCACATTTCTGGAAAACCCTTAATGACAATGAACACAATAACATTTGAAGCTATTTGTATTCTTAAATAAATATATAGTTCCATCTGCTTAATTTGTAATTGTAAAATGGAATAATCAAACAAGTTTTCTTAAATGGGTCTGATCTCGATTAATTTCAAAGCTAAATCTGTTTCTAAGGATCTTTATCAAATTTATATCACCAAGAATAGGGAAAAAAATTGAGTACCATAATACCACCACTAAACAAGAGGCCCATTGGCCACATCGCTTACCTGAGCACTTTAGCAAGGAAATAGCAGAAATCAGTTCAGTATTAAAAAGTTAACATATTAAGTGGTCCCAACCTACCTCAAGAGTGGGAGGGGGATGATTTGAACAAACTTGAATCCACACTGAGTATGTTTCTATATTTCTTTCACTAATCATGGCTTTAGAAGATTTTTAAAAAGATTTTTTCCTATTATACATTTGATCTTCTGTTGTGGCCCGCTCTACTCCCAGGGAACATGATTTGAACAAACTTGAATCTACATAACCTGAGGATGCTTCCATATAAATATGACTAATCATGACTTTGCTGTTCTTGAAAGGAAGATTTTTCCTACGTATTTCTATCATGGCTATGTAAAAAATTATCCCCTATTACAGGGCTTAAGTTCCAAATTCACCCTTTCTAAAGATTTTTTTTAAAACAATACAACATTATATTTATCAATATTTCAATCTTCTGTTTCTTATTTTTGGATTTAAAATTCCCAACTGAAAGAATAAGGACCCTGTGCCAAAAAGAGCCCTGTATTATAGCCCCACCCTATCCCCAGGGGGCTGATTTGAACAAACTTGAATCTACACTACCTGAGGATGCTTCATGTATAAATATGACCAATCATGGCTTTGCTGTTTTTAAAAAGAATTTTAAAGATTTTTCCTATGCATTCCTATGTAAAACTTATGTGATTATCTACTGAGACCCTACCCTAACCCCAGGGGTCATGATTTGAACAAACTTGAATCTATGCTACCTAATGATGTTTCCACATAAGTTTCATCTTTTCTTAGCCATTGTTTCTTTAAAAGATTTTAAAAGATGCCATTAACTTTTCACTTATTCGTAAATATTTCCCCTTGGAAGAAAGCACAGCCATTCATTTGAACAAAATTGAATCCCCTTTACCCAAGGATACTTTGTGGCAAGTTTGGTTAAAAATAGGCCAGTGGTTCTTGAGAAGAAGTTGAAAATATGAAAAGTTTATAGAAAAATGGATGCCAGTGACAAAATGTGACCAGAAAAACTCATTTGAGCCTTCAGTTCAGGCAAGTTAAAAAAGGAGTACCATACCACCATCACTATATCCTTCATAATTTCCAAGACAGTATGTGTTGTACCTGTTTTAAGTACTGTTAAATCATATTAATTCTTAATATTTATAAGTAAAATGAAAATTAATTGATAAATGATAATAAACAATTACCTGTGATCCTTCTTCATCCTCCACCTTTTTCTTCCTGCAGCACTTGCATCCATTATCCACAATATAAGACATTATGACAAATATGGGCATGTATGCCAAAGTCAACCAAGCCTCCCATGGCTCGATGACCCCAGGAGAACTGTATTTCACTACAATCAACATCCAGATATAGGCCCATATAGACCATGCAGCTGTAACTATGAACACACCAAATTCACTGATTCTTTTTGTATCTGGACTGGGAACACTCACAATACATATAGAAGTTATAATTAACAAATTAAAAGCAGCACTTCCTATAATTGTAAACGTTCCTAATGAATCTTCTGCCTCACTTTCACCTAACTTGAGAGCAGTCTCTCCTAAGGCCAGAATGATCTCGGGGGCACTACTACCCAGGGCCATCAGAGTTAAATTGGCCACTGTTTCATTCCAGATTAAGACTTCTCTTTCTTCTGTTTCTTTCTTTTCTGGATCGAACACCACTATTTTCCGCTTTTTGCTAGTTATTACTTCAATACTAGCCATAAAAATGTCTGATGCTATGGCCACACCTAGGAAAAAGTACATAAGGGCCAAAATATATAAAAAGCCCCGGAGGGCTTTGGGCCATAAGTTCTCTGCTGGCAGTAATATCCAGCTAGAGCAGGCATCTGTCCCATTGTCCAAGTATTCCACCACATAACCATTGCTGTAGTATGTGTAATGATTAACTGTCATCTTGATTTTAAAATTTCACAAGTCTGTGCAGACATTCACATTTGTATCCTGAAAATAAAAGAAAAGCTTGAATACAGTTTTAATACATTTTTTGATTATCCAATTTACGTTATCTTGCAGTATGTTATTAATAGCAGCCTTTCAAAAACCAACAAAGTGTACCAGCAGGCTCAACTCTAAGAAATATTTGAGTCCCAACTTTAATGTTCTGAAGCATTTTGACAGTCCCACCATGTCAGAGATATCAAGGTTTGTCTGCATGTTTAATACACTATGAGGTCTATCTCCTTTATTTTCAAAAGAATAAAGTTTTACCAATTATTTTATTTATATAATTAATGTAAATTAAACAAGCTACAATGCTTTAGTTTTATATTCCCTGTGATGTTTTAGCTTACTGAAAAACTGTTACTTGTTGTCAGCACAAAAATATTTTGTTAAAAAATATATCTCATAAAATCCAAGTCATTTTTTTTAAATTACATTTCCCCTCTGCCTAATTTCTTAAGCACCAGGGGAGATAAATAAGGGTGAACATGATATATCAGTATTTATATATATATAAACACTGGTACCTGCAACTCTCTCATAAACATTTATGCTTTCCATATATACACTTTACAAGAATTAAGTGTACTACAATTCAATTACAT